GTGCGGACATTCCATGTCCCCATCCTTATTTTCGCTTTCACTTAGAGGAGGGTAGACATGTTGACCGACTGACTTACCGAAGGCTTTCACCAACCGGCGTCCTTTCGCCTCCCCGATTCCAGCGAGGAATAAGTTTACTTCTGTGTTTTATGTTTTCTTTGTGCTTTTAAGTTTGTTTAGCGATTGGATTAGCTTTGAGGGGCAGGGTTGCTAGCCTTATGCCCAATCTTCCCTTTTTTATTCTGGTTTAAGACTAGTTGGTCCTAGTCTTGATGAAACAAACTTGTGCAAGATTGGTTGTAGTGTAGAGCAAACTGTTCATGAACACACACATACACAAAGGTGGCTTGAATTTGTGTATGGCTGTCACTTCCGTAAATCTGAGCGTATATCATTGACTGTTTCCGTGATATGTTTAGCTATAGATAAAGAGGCCTGTCTAAAACCACCGCTTATCAAGGTTTTACGCTCCATTTGTTTTCGAAGCTAATTTAGGCACACGCACCCCAAGTTTTCAAATTTATGTGAATTATGAAAGATTCATAAAGCTAATAATCCTACCTGTTCGGTTAGAAAGCAGTGTAGGCCGCATCTTCAATGAATCTGGGTGTCAAAGTTTTTCCACTTCTTCGAGCAAACACTAAAGTTGAGCAGTATGTTGGTTCCAACGAAGAATTACAAACGTAAGACATTGATTTTACCAGTGGATTGTTTATGAGAGAAGCGGAAAGTCCATCCCACTTGAATTAAGAAACGAAATCTCGATGACGTAATTAATGAAGGAGATACCTACTTGTGGTGTGCAACACATAAGTCGAAAGTTTGTGGTTGTTCAATAAGATGAACTCGCGCTCTAATAACAACGACGAAAATATTTGAGACAGGACTTTATAGAATGCGATTCAACGCTGAAAGTGCTGTGCCACGTTCCGCTTGAGCATAGCCCCAGGGAGAAAGATGCAAGAAGGGTCAGGTTGCTGTTCACCTGCTGTGATTCAGATCCAGTAGCCATATCAGAGCTGTCAACTTCATTACTGGATAATGGACCCATATAGTGAAGAATCAAAATTCTGGAGTCTTCTTCAACCCTTTTGATCTCGTTAAATGCTTCCAGAACCCCAGTAGTCATGTTCACACGTCTATATCTACTGGCAAACGGATTGGTTTATGGGGCTAAAATTTGTGTATAATGAGGAAAAAAGCACGTATCTTGACTTGACAACCGCATACCGCTCGCAGAATCTTGGACCAGTGGCACCTTTTGATTTAGTGAGTGGACGCCATGCCCATCGTTTATATAAGAAAAGTCAACGAACTGATACCAAGCTGGCACTTGGCCAGACTGAAAGTGACTGGATGTTTACGAAGCCGTGTACACCTTGCTGCAATTGACCGATTTGAGTATCCTCGTCTTACTAAAAGAATATCAGATAGGTAGTTGCAGGAAAAGTCAAGACATCGTCAGATATCATTAATGAAGTCCCTGAACGTTTATGCAGCATTATTTAGTTCAAGCTGGATGGAAAAGAATTTAACCGGTCCAAGAGACACGCTGATTGCTGTCTGTTACACATCGTCCGGGTGGAATGGTATTTCGTATTGGGAATACCTGAGTATGTGCCTTCTGAAGATCTATGCTCCTTTCATGGAAGCAATGAAGGCATGCACATGAGGAACTTGACGACGATCTAAAATAGTTTCAGTCTCCAGCCTTCGCTAACAACCGCGAGAACGCTGGCCTGTACCTTTTTCCTTTGAGACTGCAGACAAAGAAAAAACCGTCGGCTGCTGGGAGGCTTTTATGTTGTGAGGGGTGAATCAGTGGCAGCAGAAAGTTTAAGAAAGATAGTTTACAGCCGCATTTCAGTTTTTGGTGGGACCAAGCTACCCTTTTTTCTAGTAAGTACCGGAAAATGTGTGCAAATCAAGAATCCATTATGTAGAAGGAATGATAGCCTAAGGATTCATCGATGGAAGGACAATTACACGCTGGCCTATTAATTTTTCAGCTTCTTGAGAATTGTCTTTTCGCTTACCTGGTGGACGCTGATGCCAACCACTAATTTTTCGTACTTGTTGAATGCCCATGAGTGGTGGACTACGAAAGAACATAGTAAAGCAGCTACGTCGGAATATTTGATATACCATTCTAAAATATAGGTGGGTTCCAACTAACTTACTAGAGGATTACACACGAGTAATGCAAAGTGACACGTCAGCGTGCCAAATAGCCTGCGTCATTGACCGTGTGCCTTCATTTCAACTGGCCTGTTAAAACCATGAAGATCAGCATCAGTGTTGAATCTCGTCGAAATCTAGGCTATTGATTTTGAGGACTAGTTTTTCCTACACCTTTGATCAAACATGCATGTTGATTCCATGCTTCATATGGTAAAAAACAGCCTTAGTGTCCGACATTTTGGTTTCAATCCATGATGATAACCTGCTGAAGCATATCTGGAACATAACTGAGAAATATGTTTGGGTGCCGTTCACTGTTCTCCCATTTGTCTTCGGATGCTGCAGACTTCTTCATGCGGTTTCGTAATATGAGCGAAACAAGATGAAGTTTGTAGACCTACTGGAAATACACATATCTATGGTAGTGTTGGTGATAAAGTCGTGGCGATAACGGCAAGTTCCAATTGCAGTTTATTTTCCCGAATTCCTTGTGCGTGGCACTACCTGTTTCCACCAACGCAAGCTTTTAAAAGGAAGTGAGGATGCCTTGGACAAAATATGGAACACATAAGAGCCTTTATTGCCTAAAAATGACTTCGCCGATCTTGAAATCCGAGATAAGCCGTTACATCCCAACAGGGGATTCTCATTGGCTTGCTGTCACTCAGATAAACATATTGGAACATTTCCCTCATTTCCTGTGGGTCTGTAAGGGTAACACTTTTGATGATGTGTGAAAGGTGGTCATTGATATTTGAAGCAGGAACGTCAAGCACATCAGGAACCTCTACGATGATGTTCTTCGGAACACCGACAATAAGCGAGTAAGACTCAATCTCCGTGGGTGAATTCGCCTTGTAGCTAATCAGATTCAGTGCGGCTAAACCATGTTGACAGCCTGTGTGCTCAGAACATGGAAAGCTGTATGAAGATGCACATCTGGTCTGAGGGGTGCTACCTTTGGGTCACCGCTGAACAACGTGTCATTGTCTAATTCAGTGGGATAAAGGGCAAACAAAAAAGAAACAGTGTAGAATTGTGCTTGGAAAACACCGTCAGAATCAGAAATCACTGGAAATTAACAAAACAAATCACAATCTGGCCTACCAATTGTAAGCAGCTGGGTGAATTATGGCTATCTGACACAGCCAGTCTTGCACAAATCGATGTTCACTGGAATTAATTCGACCAGCACCTTAACCTTTGTAGGAAGTAGTAAGATTGACGAATATGAAAATAAGCTACACTGTAAAATCGCTCACAAGTGTGTTAGTTACGCTGTAAATAAAACTTTGCTCTTAGGAAAGCGTTATGAGTGGTATGGACATATATAACTAAATTATGGGCCTAAAGTATGAGGCTGTTCGTTAGTGCAAAGAAGATTTTAAGTGGAGGTCGTCCAAGAGCGAATGTCAACACGTTTAAATGAAGCCGTCATGACAAAAGGCACGTGCTGATTCATCAGAAGACTATTTTAAATCTACGGTTTTTTTTGAAAATAGGCTGCTCTAAAAGCCCATCGTTCAGGATTCGAAAATTTTGGAAAGAAGCTTCAGGGTGAAGTTGGCAACATGGTTTAATAAGACCAGGAATGGAGTTTCGCTGGTTTGAACAGTTAACGATGACTGCAGAATGTGAAGTTGAGGAAAGTCTTAGTGGCTTAATTTTGGTATGGCGAAGCCAAAAGTGGAAAGAAAGTTGTTTGTGGTGAGGCTCTATGTACTGTCGTAAGTATAGGTGCGGCTGCTACTTTTTGGCTGCTCAAACCCGAAAGTGAAAAGAGATTATTCTTGTGTGACTACAGAGTGCAAAATGAATTTTCTCGAGGTTAATCACACATGGAGTTTTTGAAACTTTGACAACTAAGTTTATTTTGAATTGATTTAGAAAATCCATGGTACGAAACACTAGAAGACTGCAGAGCAGAGATGAATGTGAAATTTCAGCGAAAGGCCTTTTTTTAACTCTACTATCATAATGGAAGGCAATATTAGAGTGGATGCTGGTTATATGTGGGAAACCCTTCATTGCTATCACATTCTGTTCAGCAAGCGGTGCAGCTTCACCCTGGGACCCACGTCACAGCATTGCGGTGACAGATTTATTTTACTGCTGTTCATCAAACCCGTCTTGTACGGTAGAACTCTAGGAAAAAGTGCTCCCTCCTGCATAGCTATTTGGAACATTATGATTCATATGTAAGACCATCCACTATGTCCACAGTGGGAGATATTGGCTGAATAGTACTGCATGCCAGTAATAATGCAAGTGAATATTTCCTGACCACTTATATCAGTTACCAGTATTCATCATGAAGTCAAAAGCAGTGATATATTACAGTAAGGTGGTTATTTCAATATTTCATGTGCATCTTAAAATCATATTCACTCACTTCAATTAAATAGCGGTTAATCTCTAACATAGTGCAGAGGGATGTTAACCTCGTTTGAAATTGAGTTTCACATCTCTATTTATATATTTCAGTTAGCATGATATAGGCGGATTCTTGAGATGCATAGAATAGTGCCAATAAGAGGGTACACGTTAAAAAGCAATAGGAGAAAATGAAAATTAAAAAAAAATCAGTGACAAAAGTCTATTGCAAAGCATAATTTATTACTATTTTTTATTGTGATATAAAAAGAGAATTACAAATAGTTACAGGCTGATGAAATTTTCAGGCTTATTTGATTGCTGAGAAAATGGAACATATTGAATTGTTTAGTTAAATGAGACGAAAAATATCAAAAATGAAGTAGTGATTTAATGACAAGTATTGTTTATTGCTAACTTTTGTATCAATGGAACAAAACATTAACCTAAAGATTTTTGTTTCTCAGTCGAAATGATTCAATATGCTTGATTTTTCGAGTGACTTGTTTCAAATTCGATTCATCTATCTTATTTATCAATTGTTCAGCATATCCTTGTGGTATATTTGTAAGATCTTCATCTTTAAGGTAAGAGTTTAGATTTGCATTGAAATTGGCAATATTTGTTTTATTAATGTTCATTGATTCATCGTAGTCGTTCAACTCTGAGTTGCTAAACTGTTGGACAAACAAGCAATGAAGAAATATGGAGGATTCATAAAAAGTTCAGGGAAATCAATCTACACGAGAATGATATACATGATCTATTTCTAATAAATCAGGTAGTCTAAAAGTAGTCGTCATGACGAACCAAAATGATCCAACGAACCATTTAGAACCAGGGAACAATGAAGAGTTATGTTGTCCCATTATGCAAATTTTCCTCAGTACGCAACTAGGATCCTGCCAAGGATGGAACTTAGAACCTTCGATTCCCACGGTGAACGCATTAATCATAATGAAGAATATTTGTAGTTTAGGTGGATGATCTTGATTGTACTGTGTTCTCTGAGCTAGCTGGGTTGTTTATTCGTGAAGCTTTCATCGTCCATCTACACGACATCATCAACACTAAATTCAGTATGAAGTGAACTGTGAATATCTCTCCATGAGTGATTTATTGGCTTGCTTTGATGATGTGGTCTGTGATTGGTTGTTTTCTCCGACTGTTGTGTCATTGATTGTATAGACTTTCCTGTTATCTGTTCCTCTGCCTGACCTCTGACCTTTCTGTCATTTGTCATTTTTCTTATTGGTTGACAGATTAGGTCTATGCGTGCAGACTCTATTCAAAAGGGCGAGAACACACTGCAGCACAAAGCAACTTCACGGAGAAACAAGGAAAATTACCTTATATCCACCTTAAAAAAGAACGGCTACCCTCGAAACGTTATCAGAAGATGTCTATCCCGTACATCAGCAACTACAAAGTCATCGACAGAAATCAATTAACGCATCATCCTACCATTCATAAAGAATATATCAGAAATCACAACAAGATTACTGAAACCACTTGGTGGAATTGGTGTGACTCATAATCCAACAAATTCCCTCCAAACACTTTTATGCAGACCAAAGGATGTGACGACCAAAGAAGATAAACCAAACATCATTTACAAAATCAACTGCGGTAGCTAACTGTAGTCAACACTACATTGGACAAAGTGGTCACCCTCTTCACCTTCGTTTATATGAACACCATTTGTCTATTTAAACGTCCTACATAACACTTCATCACTCATTTCAATGCACGTGGATAACAACTATGGACATGAATTCAATTCTGAAAATGTAGAAATCTTGGACGGAGAGAGGAAACACAGAGAATATCACAGAATTCTTAGTAGGTTGTCATTCAGGTCAGTCAGACAGCAATCAATCAATGTATAGACATAGACCCAATCTATCCACCAACCAATAAGAAAAATGACAAACGACAGAAAGGTCAGAGGTCAGGCAGAGGACCAGACAACAGGAAAGTCTATACAATCAATGACACAACAGTCGGAGAAAACAACCAATCACAGACCACATCATCAAAGCAAGCCAATAAATCACTCATGGAGAGATATTCACAGTTCACTTCATACTGAATTTAGTGTTGATGATGTCGTGTAGATGGACGATGAAAGCTTCACGAATAAACAACCCAGCTAGCTCAGAGAACACAATGCAACCAAGACGCTTTAATCACTCTGTCACTAGGTCGGGGTTCAAAGGTTCACTGTTTCCTACTTCTGCTTATATGTTGACATTCGTCCCACTTCTGACTATATGGCCCCACAGATTATGACTTCTTATTAGAACTTCAGGGTATCCATCTTAAAAATATCTTGAGTTTGATCCCTGGCAAGGCTGAAAAGTCATATACTAGGAGGAAACATTTATCTAGCGCTTCAGAGTTGTTGATGGTTCTCTCACTGATTTTATTTCGTGATGTGTACTACTTTAAAATAAATTAAATTCTTATTAACCACAAACTAAATTGAATAATTATTTATTTCCCATAATGCTAAAGAAAACGTTTTTATCCAATTGTAGGATGTCTTCAATTTTGGGTCCATATGGATATACTTTAGATTTTCCCTATTTTTAGAAATTATCATCTCATATTACTGGTTATTTATGAGTACAGACTTCGTTTATCCTTTCTCAGACTTACAGTTCAGTTTTTAATTGATGGGGATTCAAGAAAAAAAATCTATGGCATAATCAAACCGACGTACATCTATGAATATTGATATCTGTCTGTTAGGATTCAAGTAGTGCGTGGAGAAATATTCCAGTAACTTGTCACGATTTACTTCTTTCTTGTTAATCTTTTATATAAAAATGAAGAAAAGAAAGAAATACTTGGTCATTTTGGTGAATTATATAGCACAGTCATAGTGTGGCAAAGAATGAATCGAATGTTAGTTTTTAAAATATTACACCGGGTTAACTTAATATGTTAGAGATATCTGCATAGTATTTTCATAACTATTTACATTATGTCGTATATATCTTGTGTAAGAATTACGAGTGTATGTTTAGTAACAAGACGAAGAGATTTTGCTGTATAAATGATAATACTTACTTTAACTATAATTTACACTGAATCAATAATTAAGGACAATTTACAATTGATTCTTTCGGTGATGTCATTTACTAAAACTGTACAATCATATTTATATAAATGGTTATAATTAACTTTCTAATCGAATATTCACTTGAAATCGCAATAATAGTGTTAGGCTAGAGTCGGGGACAGGAGACTACGTAACGGAAAGGTGATGATAGCAGAGAGAAAGCGCAGAATTTAACAAGATGTGAGATTCTATAGTCAAGCGCCTACTTATTAGATTATCATTATTTACCCCTTGGGTCCCATGTCCTCATACCATCTCCTCCATGTCAACCTCAACTCGGAAGCCCAACTCGTCGTTTCACATATGGGTTCCACTCAACGAATTGGCCTGGTACCTTATGTCCCCAATCGGCCTTCTCGCTGTATGTCCAATCCATCTCCACTTCCTTCCACTGCATATTTGTTGAGTGATAGGTTCTTGCTTCGTTGGTTCCTCGCCAGCCAGCCAGCCAGCCAGCCAGCCAGCCAGCCAGCCAGCCAGCCAGCCAGCCAGCCAGCCAGCCAGCCAGCCAGCCAGCCAGCCAGCCAGCCAGCCAGCCAGCCAGCCAGCCAGCCAGCCAGCCAGCCAGCCAGCCAGCCAGCCAGCCAGCCAGCCAGCCAGCCAGCCAGCCAGCCAGCCAGCCAGCCAGCCAGCCAGCCAGCCAGCCAGCCAGCCAGCCAGCCAGCCAGCCAGCCAGCCAGCCAGCCAGCCAGCCAGCCAGCCAGCCAGCCAGCCAGCCAGCCAGCCAGCCAGCCAGCCAGCCAGCCAGCCAGCCAGCCAGCCAGCCAGCCAGCCAGCCAGCCAGCCAGCCAGCCAGCCAGCCAGCCAGCCAGCCAGCCAGCCAGCCAGTCAGCCAGTCAGTCAGCCAGAGTTCCTCCTTGCTTATTCTTATTATTCTGGCCATCTCATCTCATCTTCAGTAACGAGCCAGTGTAGACGGCAGTTGTTGATGATGCGTGTCTGTAGTTTGTTGGAAGTGCTTTCCGTAACGCAGTAAGTCTCTGAATCATGCAGACGCACTGACATGACTGATATTAGTGTTGTAAATCTGGATGTTGTTCGGACTTTCTGTTGAGTGCAGAATATCTGCACATTGATTTCAGGTTAATCCACGCCTGTCTTGTTGTTTTTTCCGATCCTGGCTGCTTTGACGTCTTTGTCTGTGCCGGCTGTAGGTGATTCAATTTGTTTCTGAAGCCACTATGAAATATGTACACTGATGTACGCTTGGTTAAAACAAGTGACATTTTATGCAAATGCATCTTTACCAATCGTTTTTCCATAGAAGTTCTTTTACCTTAATCAAAAAGCTTGATACTTTTGTGTATTGACAATGTAACACTCAAGTTTGAGGATGCATATTTTTATCAAATTGATAGCGTTGCCATTGGAAACCACTTTGGTCTCCTTATGGGAGATATTTATGCGTTATAAGTTTGACTATCTGAGATGGCTGTAGCTTGGCAGACTAATATTATTGATACTGTGTGATGTTTGAAGGTGAAATGAATATGTGGACCACGGCTGAATTCGAACCAGCCACCACTTGAGCCACGAGGTTCGACTACTGAGCAGAGTTTTATTTCACTTCAATCACCAAGCGTTTTAACCCGACTACCTTTTGAACTAGTGATGTGTTACTACCGCTTGATCATATTCACTCTGGCTTCCTAGTCAGGACTTCTCATCCCAATCAAAATCTGAGTTAGAGAGGGGGAGCATCATACTGATTATCAATTTGAGTACATGACAGCTTTGATTTGGCAAGCTAGTAATTCTACTGAGTGATGATTGAAGGTGAAATAAAAATTTGGAACTCAGACAGATGGTAGTCGGGCAAAACTCTTGGTAATTGAAGTGAAATAAATATCTAATAGGTAGTTGGGCCTCTTAGCTCAGTTGGCAGAGCATCGGGCCGGAAACCTGGTGGTTGCTGATTCGAATCCAGCCGCTGTCTAAATTTATATTTCACCTTCATTCATCACCCAGTAGATATTTGTGCGTCGCATGTTGAAATATTATATGAGTATTAAATTGAAAAAAGTAGAAGATATATAGATGATATCTTAACGGTAGGTGATGATCTATGTTATTCTACTTCAGTTCTAAATCAAATGAAGGAAGAGCAGAGTAGGATTTTCTTAAAAACTGTAAAAGATAATGATAACTGTTTGTCTTTCTTAAAGGTATTGTTTAATCAACGACAAGATAGATGGACAAAACGATCTATCTACTGAAAACCTAATTGAATAGAACAGTATTAAATCTATGACAGTTTCTGACCCATCAAAATACAAACAAATTTTAGTGAGGTAGTTGTTGAATCCAGTTCAACGGATATGCAAAGCAGATATGTTAGGAGAAGAGATAAAATTATTAACGGAGATTTAAATCTAGAAGAACTACCCACTGAAACTTGTAAGTCATCATAAAATGGACGGGACTTTTAGAAATACTGTTCACTCTGTCCTAGAACTATGTCTTTATCAAGTTGCCATACACTGATGATTTGAATAGCTTGGCAGTTAGACAGAAGTTTCATACTGTTGTCACTAAAACATTTTATTTAGCTAAACTTTGAATGAGTGAAAATTCGAAGCCTATATATCTATCAAAGCTGTTGGAACAGGTGAAAGGTGAAGTCGCATCCTATTGTATTTGTCAATTTAATTGTATGGTCACATATACATATAAAGAACTCATTAGCCATTCAAAATAAAGGCCATAGGGTATATTCTAAAGTAGTTAAAGAAATAAATGAATTTGTCAAGCCCAACCAACACTGTAAACAAACGTTAAAGCTTCTTAATAGCTAAACGTATTCATAAAACGGGGCATAAAATGGAAGTAATTTATGCTTAATTCAGTAAATTGTAGTCAAAAATATAAGATTAACTTCTTCTTTAGTATTCCTGGTCTATTCTTCACTTCTACTAAATACACGATTTTAACTAGTTGATTTCAGGTAATTCGATAACCGGGTTATTTTTACAGTAATTATTCATTTTGACCATCGACAAATTTGAACAAAAACAGACAATCATATATCAAGGTAGAACCTCAAAAAAGGTATAAAGGGCTTAAGCTACCGCACAAGACACAAGTTTATGAAAATGGACTGGATCACGCAACAAAGAGTGAGGAGCAAAAAGTGGAGCATACGCTGGCTGGACCGGAGAAAAGATCCTAGAAGATTTAGATTTCGTCGATGATGATGATTTATGTCTAATGTCTCGTGGCACAAACTCGAAGATCTACAGTCAAAAACTAAAAGGTTGATAGAAAAGGCAGGGCAGTGAAGACGGGACTTCAAGTGAACGTAGAGAAGACAGAGGTGATGAAGATACCCAACCAACACCAGCACCACCACCAACAACAAGCTCCAATAACCATCAACAGGAATAAATGAAAGGAAGTAGTCTCTTTCACCTACCTAGGCAAGGCAGCATCGTTTCACCTACAGATGGCACAGACAAAGACGTCAAAGCAGCCAGGATCGGAAAGACAACAAGACAGGCGTTGATTAACTTGAAATCAATGTGCAGATATTCTGCACTCAGCAGAAAGTCTGAACAACATCCAGATTTACAACACTAATATCAGTCATGTCAGTGCGTCTGCATGATTCAGAGACTTACTGCGTTACGGAAAGCACTTCCAACAAACTACAGACACGCATCATCAACAACTGCCGTCTACACTGGCTCGTTACTGAAGATGAGATGAGATGGCCAGAATAATAAGAATAAGCAAGGAGGAACTCTGGCTGGCTGGCTGGCTGACTGGCTGGCGAGGAACCAACGAAGCAAGAACCTATCACTCAACAAATATGCAGTGGAAGGAAGTGGAGATGGATTGGGCATACAGCGAGAAGGCCGATTGGGGACATAAGGTACCAGGCCAATTCGTTGAGTGGAACCCATATGTGAAACGACGAGTTGGGCTTCCGAGTTGAGGGTGACATAGAGGAGATGGTGTGAGGAAGAAATGAGAGTTTCTGGGCAGTTGTGGAGCCAGGTGTAAGAAGAGTGAAGAGAGGAGAGTGGGATGTAGGAGTGTTACTGAATCTGTATGTTCCACTAGGAACCCGAGGGACAAATAATTAATTATGATAATATGTATAAGAAACTAACCTTCTCATTCCTTCCAGTGAATGTCTCACTTTCTCCTTTTATTCCATTTTGATTGGATTTTATTTTATTCCAGTAGTATTGTGACAGATTTTCAACGTTACTGGTATAGACTACATCTTCCAAGTTTATTGCATCACACTAAAGTAGAGAAAAACAAAGTGAATGCTGAAGTGAAGTAAAATTGAACAAAAAATCATACTGAATGTTTTAATATTTTTACTAAGTGACTGTTATATTGTTTACATGATAAGCTTAATCAAGCATTGTGTAACCCTGGAAAACTTTACTTGTAGTTAAAATGTCGTGTAATATTTTGCCCGTAATGGCTTATTATGAAAGCTTAGTAAGATTTCTTCAAGTTGATAGATAATTACTGATTCCAGTTCACTGAAAATTCCTCTTTAGACATGCGTAGAAAGATTAGCTGATGATAGAAATGTGTTTTTTCTCACTTCAGTCTTCGTCTTCAACTCTATACTAATATATAGGTTATTATATGAATGTTAATTTCTCAAACTTATCATCTTCATTACTTAATTAGAATCTCTTATCATTGTTAATCAACCCTCCTACCACTTATCTAGTATTTCGCTATGACTTGTAAACCATTATATAAAAGGGCACAGCCGTCATGAAGTTACATCAGTTGCAGAACTAATGGAAATATGAAGACACTTGACATCTGTTTCATCCTATAATTAGGACTTCTCAGGAGTACGCACCTTCGACTCCACTGGTGATCGAAATCAGGGTCGTCCTAATTTATGTATTACTTATCATCAAAGAGATACATTAGTAAAATTTAAACAAGGTGGAAAAATAAATTTCATGATATGATCTAATTTTTTGTCTATTTAGCACTTGAATATAAGATAAGTTGTACGGATTTTATTCCTTGACCAGATGGTTTTCAAGAGGTCGCAAAAAAACACTAGAAATCTATTTCTCTACAAATAAATTTCCTTTTAAGCAGAAAGTATGTTAGAATTTGTTAGTGTTTAAGGTTGTAAGGAGTTGATGAGAAACCGGTAAAATGAGATAGTAGCACGTAATTTTGCTAAAACCATTTTTTCTTTCTTGACTCAAGATTCTAAAGGTGAACATATATATGAAGTTTCTTAATTTGCTGGAATATAGCCATTTCTGCGCTGTAGTGTTGAACAGAAACAGTTAAGAATTAGGAATATACAGGTGAAGGGGGTTCTAAATAAAAATTTCATATCACCATCTAAGATTTTATCTAATTTTCATTTTTTTTTATTGATTTATTAGACTTATCACATAGTAAAACAGTATCGTTTACTGGATTATGTTTCGGACATAATTTATGTTGTCCATAGGCTTATCAAGATAACTACACAACTTTGAGATATGCTTTATATAGTCCTAATTTTCTTGCCTTCCATGTGATATGGGTAGTACGATCTTCCATATATCCCGAACAGGTACTTAGTCATTCCTGTTGCATGTAATAGGTGTTGATTCGACAAACAAAGATTCAGTTATCAATCTCTTCATCCATCCTGTTATGTTAGTTTTAAGAATTTTCACCCTGTCGCATCCTATTATGTGGTTGTGTATTCTCGCATTCATAGTTAGGGCTGAGGTTTTTCCTAAATCCTTTACTTTACTAGGATCTACAAATTTTGACGTAGTTAGTTTTCTGTGCTCGGATAGCCTAATTAACTGAGCCTGGTCGACTACTTTGACCTATGTATTTGACGTCGCAATCGTTGCAAGGGATCGGGTAAACTAAGTTATTCGGCTTAATTGAATCAATAGGATCTCTTAGCCTGCAAAGCCTATTTCGAAATGAATTTTTAGGCTTAAATGCCACTGTAATCGTAGCCAGTGTTATTGAGAATGGTACGTAGTATTTCTGAGGTGTCTTCTTTGTGTGTTAATACTGTAGAGGTTTTAAATGCTCTGTTCATAGTATTTCCACCACTGTTATTAGCATCATTACTACTATTAATACGTGTGTTACTTATGTTTTTCTTACGATTCCTGAGGAGGTTATGAATTAATTTGGGAGGTTAATTGTTGATGAGTCAGGTATGTTTAATGTATCTAGATCTTCTGTTTAACTAGTGAGCGTTTTGGCCTTGTTACTTAGTGAATTTAGTAAGCCAAGTTTAACTGACATAGGGTGAGACGATTTGAATGTGATGATTTTCTGTAGACACTAGTGTCTAAACTTCTACTTTGTTTCCGTTTTATTCTGCAATCCAACATCCAACATTAGAAAATAGCGAAGGAGAATCAATGTTGGATTACCGAGTACAACTGAAATAAGATGGGAGTTTAGACACCAGTGTCTTCAGAAAACCTTCACATTCAAACCGTTATTCAGACTTCAAATCGTCTCACCCTATGTGAGTTAAAGTTGGCTTAGTAAAGTGCCTCACCGGTCACGAATTCTCATTGGAACTTCACGAATTACCTCTCTAAGGTAGTTACTTATGAGCACTAGGTCAACTAAATTTGAGGGTTTGTGTGTTTGTGATTCAATACGGACCATTGGATTCCGACCAAGTGGCTCAATGGCAACCTTCTGACGACGGAGCCTGAAGGCTGAAGGCCTGGGTCCGGGCCCTGCTGAGATCGTGGGTTCTCACCACTTAGGAGTCTCGTACTTGAACGAAGCAGCTGCCTAGTGCTCCTAGATTTCCAATCTTCCTCCAGCTAATTTCAATCCATGATGAATACCAACTTGAATAACTCAACATCAGTTCATCACTATCTAACCAACTGTTATATCTGTTACACTGTGTGACCACTCCAAAAAATTAATGTTCGCAAGATATGTCCACTTACTATCAAACTATCAAGCAGTTTTACTACATTGAATCTTAACTTCTCGGTCGAACTTATTTGACTTTGTGTATCCCCTTCTCAATTTTATAGTATGCTAACAGTTTTAACATTTTAATCGAAGAATTAAAAATGCATTCAATAACTTTCTGTACATTCATGCAGTAGGCAGTGAGATGCAACTGATTGTGTGAGGGCTATGATATCACCTAGCTGCCCAAACCTCGGTTGGTGCAGTAGTGTTCGAACGGCTGACCCGTAACAAATTAGCCACAGTTGCGAACTGACTTTTTAATAACTTATCTCTTTGAGAGGAAACATTCCACAAGAGAATAACCTTTCTTTAATGTGTGTATTTATTAATGACATTGTGAGGAACGAAAAGAGAGGCACACGTAGGTTGGACCAATGAAACGACACCAGGTGAAGATTTAAGTTTCGCCGATGATGATTTATGTCTGATGTCGCACACAAACTCGAAGGTCTGCAGGCGAAGACTAACAAGTTGGCACAAGAGGCGAGGCAGCAAAGACAGGACTTCATTTAAATGAACGTAGAGAAGACAGGTGATGAAGATACCCAGCCAACAACAACAAGCGCCAATCACCATCAACGGCAGAAATCTAAAAATGTTGTCTCTCTCACCTACATATGTAGGTAGTATCGTTTCAACTACAGGCAACGGTGGCTAAGATGAGGATGTCAAAGCCAGAACCGGAAAGACAGCAAGGCAGACCTTTGTTAATTTGAAATAGTCAGTGTGGAGATATACTACACTCCACTCCACTGCACTGCACTCAGCATAAACCGTGAAGAAGATCCGGATTCTCAGCACTAATGTCAGTCAAGTCAGTGTTTAGATGTGATGGTTGAGAGACTTGGCGCATCATTGAAAGCATTTTCAATTAACTGCTGACATACGTTATCAACAGTTGCCGCCTACGCTCATTCGATGCTGACAGTGAAGATCAGATGAGAATAAGCACCAAGGAACTTTGAATGGCTGGCAACGAACCAACCAACCGAGATGGATTAGATCGGACATAAGTTGAGAAGGCCGTTTATGAACATCACATGCTAGACCAGACCAGGTCCTTGAGTAGAACCCAAATAGAAAATGACGAGTTGAGCGTCTGAGATTGACACTGAGGAGATTGTGTGATGAAGAAATGAAAGCTATTGGGGGAGTTGTGGTGCCAGGTTGAAAAGACTTCAGTGAAGTCAGTGACGTACTATTGAAACCCTATATTCCACTAGAAACCCATGGAACAAATAATGAAATAATAATTTATAACTTGATAAAATTAGCATTATAAAATTATCAGTAAACTTACAATTAGTTCGAGATTCTTGTGATCAGTACAAGCAATTACTCTTACTGCAATTTGCTGCCAAAATATATTCACACAGTTTATCAAATAATCTGTATCATACTTAAATGATTGGCTGATTAAAGACAATCGAGTGCCCATTATTTGATTCAATGAACATGATCCTAACTTATAGAAATCTAGAGAAACTTGACCATTAATTGATTCATAATTCTGAAAGTATTGTTGTGCATGTGTTTTGAGTAATTCCTGAAAATTGTTTAAAAAAACAACAATATTGAATGAAGTATCTTATAGAATTTAAACTGGAATTTACGAAGTAAACAAAATAGAATAAATTACTTAAAATACTTACATATTACTGAGTTACTTAAATCTGTCTTGAAGATGTCAGTAATGATAGATAGTGGTTAACAATGGAATCTAGGATGCGGATTTCATTCTACTATTTCGGATAGCAGTCAGAAGAAACTTGAGTGCTGACAGAGTTGTGAGGGCGGTTGACACTTTCCGGCTGCCCACACCGTGGAAGGCTATTTCTTCTTAAGGTACCTGAAAGAGACTTGTGTGACCGCAGAGCCCATCGGATATCTGCTTGAGGCCTGTCACACGAAGCCTTTTGAGTATGATTATTTTGAACTTTTGTATTTTTGGGGCCGGATGGTTGAAAGGAAACGACAAGTGAACCAACACAGCCGGCCCGGCAGACCGTGGGGCATGGTGGAGTGTGTTATTTTTGGGGCCGACCTTTTCTAACCCCCCCCTTCCACTGAGAAGGCAGCATCAGCATGGCACTGCTGGTCATCCAAGGGAAACAGCTTACTGCTGTCACACCCCATCCAGCTAGCAGCAGTACGACTTCGCCCTCAGACCCCCATCATAGTGTAGTAATTTACATTATAACGGTAACTGCTTCTCGTCTAACCACTATCCAGCAGACCTTTCTGGTATGGCAGGACCTCGAGGGAACAAGCGTTTCACCAGCATAGCTCGTTGCGTCATTGTGATATGCAAGCCCGACCACCACATCAAGGTAGCAGCTATCGGTCGGGTATTTGGGACTCGTTATTAGGATATACCTGCCTCTCAATGAGTGATATTGTTCTCACCGGGATTCAGACACAGGAGGGATCACTCCAAACGAGAGAGCGTTATTCACTATATCAAAGAGCCATGATAGCCACTTCTTGTGTGACGGGTATAGTTTTAGTATTATTACTTGTATTACACCGTCATGAAAAATGTTTTTACAAAATTGTCTCTAGGCAAATAATGATTCTATTGAATGTAAAGGAAAAGCTACTGTTTTTAACCACCTTAGTGTGTATCTACTTCTGTTGGGTAACATAAGTCGGCAATACTTAGCATCCATCTGTTTTCTAAACGTATCGTTAAAAATATACAATTTTGATTTGACAAAGAATAAAGAGGATTCTCTTATAGTTCACTTATACAGTATTTAGTTGATTCCAGTCACTCAGGTATTTTAATGTTTGACTCTAGTGTATTCTGTGAAGAAATTGGGAATCTAATAAACTCTAAGTTAATAAAACTTTTCTAAACTATTGAAGTCAAGATAATCTATTATTTAAGGCTTAAACTTTGAATACAATAACTGTTTGTTTAATCAGTTTGAAGACGGACGAGGACGTCAAAGTCAGAATCGGAAAAGCAAGATAGGCGTTCATTAGCTTGAAACCAGTGTGGAGATCTTCTGCACTCAGCATACAGCGTGAACAAGATACGGATTTTCAACACCAATCCAGTCAAGTCAGTGCTCTTGTATGGCTCAGAGACTTGGCGCGTCACGAAAGGGATTTCCAATAAACTACAGACATTCATCAATAACTGCTTACGCTCGCTACTGAAGATCAGATGGATTGCCAGAAAGAATAAGCAACAAGGAACTCTGGGAACGAAGCAACCAAGAACCTATCACGCAACAAATATGCAGGAGGAAGTGGAGATGGATTGGCCATGCACTGAGAAGGCCGACTGAGGACATCACGCGTCAGGCCAGTTGCTCGAGTGGAATCCCCATGGGAAGCGACGAGTTGGACGTCCGAGGTGAGGGTGACATGGAGGAGGTCGTGCGAGGAGGAAATAAGAGCTTCTGGGCTGTCGTGGAACCAGGTTCAAAAGATCTCAGAGAACAGAGGTCACTGGAGACGTGCTAGTGAAGCCCTATGTTCCACTAGGAACCCAAGGGACTAATAATAATAATAATAATAATAATAATCAGTTTGAAAACTTTACATTTGGAAAGTGTTTTATTCCCTTCCTAGTTACTTAATTTGACTTAAGATTTTGATAAGTTTTTAACTGTTTACTATTTCTTCACATTATTTAATACTTTTTAAATCATTATAGCCTAAATATTAAAAAAACTGGATTTGAGAGGATATTTTTGGAAATAGATCTTTTATATGTTGCCAGTTATGTAACACTTTTTTGAATCCCTTTTTAATCATTCAGTGGGGTATTATTAAATGATTATGATTATATCCATGTCACCCTCAGCTGGGACGCCCAACATGTCGTTTCCTTTTTGGATTCCACTCGATGACATGGCCTGGAGCGTGACATCCGCAGTTGGCCTTCTTAATGTATGCCCAATCCATCTCGATTTTTTTCAACTGCATATTTGTTCGGTGTTAGGTTGTTGGTTAGTTCGTTGTGAGCCAGCCAGAGTTCCTTGTTACTTATTCTTATTATTCTGGCCATTTGATCTTCAGTATTGAGTGAGCGTAGGTGACAGCTATTGAAAATGCTTTTCATGACGTTCCAAGTTTCTAAACCATCACATAGAAGCACTGACTTGACATTGGTGTTGAAAATCTGGACTTTGTGCTTTGTGCTGAGTGCAGTAGATCTCCACACTGATTTCAGATTAGTGATATTTCGAAACTAATAATCTAGAATTCAGTATTCCAATGCATTGTCCAAAGGAATTACTTCTGCGATGAACTTTTATTGCGCAGCTGAAATTCAATAACGAATTTCATTGATAGGATAATGGAGTGTGTCACTTTTGGGTCATTTCGTATCAATCGCTTCGTGGTTAATTTAGAAAACAGTGTACTACATCGTTATTTATGATTTTTTTGAATGTCTTGCTGTGGCAACCATACGGGAATCGGTTTGACTAATACTGTGTCCAAGATCCTAGGGTCCATAATTAACCAACGCTTTGCTAGAACCCAAGAACAGCAAACTCTGAGGAAAACAGTCAGGTTTCAGACCTGAACGGTAGTTTATTTTATAATATGTTCTAACACAGAGGCCTTCTTAGAGGCTAATGAGTGACAATTGCTATATTTCTTGACTCGAAGACGGCATTTGACTCTAGGCAAAGGATTTTCTTTGAACTTAACAAGATAGGAGACAATCAACATAGATCAGAAGCAAAACTCAATCCAAGATAGTTAACATTCAATTTATTTTCTAAAGTAACTCCATCAGTACGACGGAAGTCATGGAATCTAAGCGGTTCACACAAGTCTTGTTAACGCCTGACATTTACAAGTGTTCAGCTTCAAAGCATTTGAGAAAGATCACTGTTCAATTTCAGACAAGAAACTATCTATAAAAATATCTTTTAATATAACCCCAAAAGTGTTAAGAAAATCAAAACAAGATATTTTTGAAAGTTTCACTGTGTAAATCACAGCGCTTCGTCAGCAGAATATACACATATTTATTGACAGTAAAATACAAAGCCAAATGATATATCAAGTATTTAAAGAATGTAGGTCATTACTTAGGTGGAAACCATTTAATTGAGGGGTTAACTAATACAGGAGACATCGAGTCATTAGCATTACTGAATAAAATTAGTTTGGACAGAATCAGTTAGGTCATGCAAAAAGAAAGCAAAACAGAGAAGGAGAAATTACTACGCTTTGATGTATACCAGCTTCAATTGCAATGAATTAGAGCTCTTCCCTTAAAAAAACACTATAAAGTTTCATATTAGATTGCTTATATAATATATCAAACGGTGATACAATATAATATACTGTATAACATCCAGTAAATTACACTGTGTCGCTGTGTGATATATCAAATAGACAATTTAATCAGGAGTTATATGTATTCTACCACAGTGCCTAAATCATTCTCTTTAAGAAAAATAAGAATATGGACACTGTGCAACCCACAGTTCAGTGGTAGGAATGGTAAGCTTCTTTAACGACAATGGTCTAGGAACAGAGTCAAAGACTGTCTATTAGGCTTTATTAGCGTAAAAAGAGTTTAAAATGACAGCTGAATTATCATTTTTGTTTCTTAAATAGTGACATTTCCACCATTAAGGACAACTAGTCTATTCCAAGAGAGTTTAATCAGATCTTTGTCGGGTATCAAGCTAGTAGGTTCAAGTAACTCACCAGTGCAGTAGATTATGTTAGGTATTGGATGGTTAGAAAAAGTTGATAAAAGGTCAGAAACCGATAGGGATTCGTCAATGCTCTCGTGGAGATGTATCCTCTGTTGAAGTTGTAAGTATTCAGCATCATATCCAGTAATTTTGTAGCTTAACTATTGGGGAAGTGGTTAGTCTGTTGTGAAACCTATTGGTTCTAGAACATAATTACTCATTACAGTAATTGTTGGTGCCTATGATATCAAATCGTTAGAGCTGCTTAAAAGCAAACTGATCAGCAGGACATATTAATATTGATATTATAGGTAGTCGTGTAGGTAGGTTCAAAAGACTGTAGAAAACAGAGTGAAATGGTAACGTTCTACTGAAGCCCTATTTTTCACTAGGATCCCAAAGGACAAATAGTTTAATAATTGGTATTCACTTGGAACCAAATTTTAAATTCATTTCTTGTTCGAAGTTATCAATGCCAGTTGAATTTACAGCCAACGGAGAATATTTGTATCTCAGGTGGATGGTCTTGGTTATACTGTGTTCTCTGAGCTAGATAGGTTGTTTAATCGTGAAGCTTTCATCATCCATCTACACGACATCATCAACACTAAATTCAGTATGAAGTGAACTGTGAATATCTCTCCATGAGTGATTTATTGGCTTGCTTTGATGATGTGGTCTGTGATTGGTTGTTTTCTCCGACTGTTGTGTCATTGATTGTATAGACTTTCCTGTTGTCTGGTCCTCTGCCTGACCTCTGACCTTTCTGTCGTTTGTCATTTTTCTTATTGGTTGGTGGATAGATTGGGTCTATGTCTATACATCAGTTGATTGCTGTCTGACTGACCTGAATGACAACCTACTAAGAATGCTCTGACATTCTTTGCGTTACCTCTCTCCGTCCAAGATTTCTACATTTTTAGAATTGAATTCATGTCCATAGTTGTTATCCACGTGCATTGAAATGAGTGATGAAGTGTTATGTAGGACGTTTAAATAGACAAATGGTGTTCATATAAACGAAGGTGAAGAGGGTGAACACTTTGTCCAATGTAGTGTTGACTACAGTTAGCTACCGCAGTTGATTTTGTAAATGATATTGTGTTTCTCGTCTTTGGTCGTCGCATCCTTTGGTCTGCATAGTAGTGCTTGTAGGGAATTTTTTATGAGTCACACCAATTCCACCAAGTGGTTTCAGTAATCTTGTTGTGATTTCTGATATATTCTTTATGAATGGTAGGATGATGCGTTAATTGATTTCTGTCGATGACTTTGTAGTTGATGATGCACGGGATAGACATCTTCTGATAACGTTTCGTGGGTAGCCATTCCTTTTTAAGGTGGACATAAGGTAACTTTCCTCGTTTCTCCGTGAAGTTGCTTTGTGCTGCAGTGTGTTCTCGCTCTTTTGAATAGAGTCTGCACGCAACTGATTTTTGCGTGTTGTTGGTTTGTTTCTATTGTAGTTGAGGATTTGGTCAGTGTATGTTTACTTCCTGTACTCTTGGGTTTCCAGCTTTCGGTATTCGTCCTATTGACTAAAATATCTAGGAATGTTAGTTAGTTGTTTGACTCTTTCTCCATTGTGATTTTGATGTCATTGAAAACGTTACTGATAAAACTATGGGTGTTTCCTATATCTATCTATATCAACAACCCAGTTTAGAGAACACAATACAACCAAGAATTTACAGCTAGTTTACGGCCGGTATCGCAACAAACTTTGCAGCCAGCAAACCTTTCAGCTGTGACCATTCCCTAAACAAAAGGTGTTGCTTTTTATTTTACTTCAATTTATTGGCTGAAAGCATAGGAGGTTGAAGAGAAATAATCATACTTGTAGGTGACAAGTCTGCAACCATCGTGTTCTTTCTTATTGGACAACGTAGAACATATAAACGCAAAGCAAAAGTTTATATTCTTTATGTCTACCATTTCCATCTATGAAATTGTATCTGATTTTGAACAGTTTACGTTTCTTCAGAGGATGATGGGTTCAGGATATAACAAGTGAGATGGTCATTTAATGTTTCAACTCCCCTGTTTTCGAATAGTGTGAATCCAATTTCAGTTCACTTTGTTTTGCACACACCTGCGTACGTTTATTTATTTTATTTTATTTTCCCCTTGGGTCCCTAATGGAGCATACAACTTCAGTAGCACATCTCCATTCCACTGTCTTCTCTACAGTCTTTCGAACCTGGCGCCACTTCTCCCCAGAAGCATTCATTTCTTCCTCACATGATCTCCTCCATGTCACCCTCAGCTGGGACTCCCAACTCGTCGTTTCCCTTTTGGATTCCACTCAAGGGCCTGGCCTGGCGCGTGATGTCCCCAATCGTCTACTCAGTGTATGATTGAGACTTTCCTTACTTTGAGTTGAATCTTGCTGACATGATCCTGGAGGAGGAGATTGGTTCCCACTGCATGAGAGCCTTTGATGATCATGGAGACATCGTGATAGTCACTCCCTCCATGTACTCATGGTTGTCGTCTGGGTGACAATATCGGAGTAGATTATTGACTCTCCAGTAAAGAATTTAGAGAGTACGCTTCCATTCCATCTGCTTTCGCAGGTTTCTAGCACCTCTATGCCATATTTTCTTATCTCTTTTGCAATCTGTGCAGCCTCGCTAGGTTCATAGCTGGTGTCCCCATCGTTACTTTCGTTTTCATTGAGAGAATGCACATGGCCAACTGACTTCGCGAAGTTTTTCACCAACCGGCGTCATTTCGTCTCCCCGATTCTCGCAAGGAATAAGTTTGATTTTATTTTTTATATTTTCTTTGTGCTTTGAAATTTCTTTAGCGATTGAATTGGTTTTACGGGTTAGCCGTATGCCCAACCTTCCTTCTTTATCTGGGCTTAGAACCGGCTAGTAACTATTGAACTAGTTAACCAGGCGAGGTTCTGCGTATGTTTACTTGTGTGTAATTTTAATAGTAAATTGAAAATCGTAGTCCTGGAGTTTTTATAGTTAAGTTAGTGAACGTGCAAGTGGTTTTTCTTTACAGTTTGAACTGCTTGATTATCAGTTGTCTATCTGAGATAGCCGTAGCTTGGCATGCTGGTATTTAGACTGGATGGTGAGTGAAGTAAAATAAAAATCTGGTCAGCAGTCCAACCTCGAAGCTTCTACCTCATACCTCAGTTGATAGAGCAACGGGCTGGAAACCCCGTAGCCTCCGGTTTGAATCCGGTGGCGATCCAAGTCCTCATTTCATCTTCAATTATCATCTAGTATAACTACTTGAGCTAATGTAGCAGGTAATGAAAGTTGTTATATTTAATGTGATGTGAACTAAGATCGTATCTCAAAAATACCGAAATCAGTTCAGATAACATTCTAGTTAACTGCAGTGCAAAAAACATCACTTAAGTCTCGGACAGGAAACTCACTTTTATTATCCTACAATAAATTTCATCTGTTGATGAGGCATTCTCAATTCTTTCATAGTGAATAAGTTGATAAACTTTTTCAGGCATTGATACACTTGTTACGGAATGACAATAAACTCCTGGACGAAGTGATATATGTTTGATCTGTAAAAAAAGTATACAACAAATATTGGGTACATTTAAAATCCACAAGGGTTTTATTTCAAAGTCGATATTAACTGATTTGAAGATAATGTACAGTTGTACCATTACACGATGAAGCTTTTATTTTCCTTAGCTATCTGAATACTAAAAATTCATGGTGTAGGTTAGAAAAGTTTAGGATGAGAATTAGTTGAGTGTTTATTGAGATGTTTACCAATCAGATTTCCAGGATCTTAAAACAACTTGTCGACATCAGACTCATACTAGATAATGTCTATACTGATATCAACATTAATGCTTAAAATATAGATGTCATTTACAGAGAAATATTTGCTGTGCATATTTCACAATGTTCTTACTCTTTATATTTTAACCTAATAGTGTATATTATTTTCGTCAGATTCTCCACCGGTTGGTCGTTGTCACTTCTGACGTCTCTCTACACAGACATTACGTATCTGTATTCTTATAACTAGTGAGTTTCGACTTCTGTAACATTTCATTGCTTTTCACCTTACTGTAACCTGGTGAATGTATTACATATATCTTATTGACATTTGTTTAGTAAGACATTTACAATTCGGTGGTAAAGTCTGCATCCAGATGAAGGGATATTTATGGTACTAAAAACAAGATATTCAGCGAAGAGGACTCTTTTCAACTAATTTATTCTCAAACTGTAGATTAGTATATATATATATATATATATATATATATATATATATATATATATATATATATATATATATATATACGAATGTACAGGTTGAGAATAATATACGAGTAAAACTTGGGGACTGTGGTCGATTGTAATTCCATTTTAGTCAGTTTATTAGAAATGTCATAGAGTGAAACAGTGAAACAGTAGCATTTACTGGATAGCCACGTTTCGGATACAATTTATTGCCCATATTCATTTCAGATCAGTTAACTCCACAACTTCGAGACAGACTTTATGCATTCCTAATTTTCTCTACTTCTCCGTCATGACATGAGTAGTAGAATTTTCCATATATCTGGGATAGGTGAACAATCATCTCGATTACTACATGTATTTGGTGTTGATTCGATAAACAAAGATTCGATTATCAGTCTCTCCCTCCCTCCACCCAACTCAGTTTATTTTTCAGAGTAAAGCTATAGCTGAGCTTTTCTCAAAATTCCTTATCTTATTAGGATCTTCTAATCTTGATTTAGCTAAGTTTTCCTGTTCTCTCATTCTAAGCAACCCTAGTCGACTGCTTTAACTCACCTATGTACTTGACCTCGCAATCATTTCAAGGGATCTGGTAAACCAGATTATTTTGCCTAATTGTATCGATAGGATGTTTTAACATAGAAAGCTTGCTTCTAGGTGAGTTTGTTGGTTTGAATGCTACTTCAATCCTAGCCACCCTTATTGAGAATTCTTCGTAATTCTTCTGAGGTGCCTTCCTTGTATGATAACACAGTAGAGGCTTTGAATTCCCTCTTAACCCTGTCGTCATTATTACTATTAGTAGTGGAATTATCATCTTACTGCTACTACTACCAATGCTGATATTTTTCTTTCGATTTTTTTCATGAATTTATTTATAAATTTTGGTGGGTAATTATTGAGAATAAATTCGTTGAAAATAGTCCTCTTCGCTGAATATCTTGATTTGATGTCACAATAGATATTATGAACGTATTTATGGTACCATGCATATATGAATCGATTTCAGAGACATAGTCATAGTCTTGCCAGTAATTAAACATTTACTAGATCTTCTGTATGGATTATACATATTGGTATTGCTAAAATGAATGTATTGTAAGGTAATTACAATTTAACTGACAAGTTTCCTATGATGTCAAATCTATGTTATAGAAGACGTCTGAAGGCAAGCAACCAATTGAATTACAGCCATTTACTTTCTGGTGGAATTCTTGAAGTTCTAATGACTAGTCAAAACCTTTGGAGTCAGATGAAGTGACATTAAAGTTGGATGGCCACCATTCTATATCAAGTTGACAAATATAAAAAGAGTGAACGGCTGGTTTTCAGCCTAGTGGTTGAATGGTAACGAGCTTGGGGTACGCTTTGATAATTGTGGGGGCAAACTGGTAAGTGGTCCCACAGTAGGATACAATAACTGTTCCGTGCTTGTAAGTTCTTCGTGTTTCTCCTGTTAGCATCAATTCATCATAATAACTCATTTTCTTAAAATTAGTCTGCCCTCACTATCTCATGAATGAGAATTACATTTCTTTACACTTTAATCAGTATAAGAAACACACAGTGAAGGTGAAAGTGTCCTCAGCTACATCAGTATTAAGCCAAAACACTTTAGTAAAACAGTGAAAGTTGAACACTGGCAAAATGTAATTACATAGTACTCTGCTGATTAAATGTATCACACAGTGAAATAATACCCTTACTCACTGGATGACTTTTCGGACCCAATTTATGATCCATAGTTATGTCAAAGTAACCTACATGTTTAAGATACTGTTTTCTATAGACTTTATTTCTCTAAGTTATGTGCTCAAGTAGCCTAATTCACCTATGTCGACCAATTTGATCTATAAATTTAACGTAGCAATCATCGGAAGAGATTTGAAGAAAGTGGAAACGCTTCACTACATCCACTATGCTGGCAAATGAAGAAAATTATTGAATAGATATTATATATATTTATATATAATATCCCTTCTTCATAAAAAAATGATTTTAAACAAGGTTAAGAACAAATGATATCTGTTTATACCTTTTTCCTTAACGATCCAATACCTGAATTCTCGAAATACTATGAACAGTTTATCTTGGTACGCAGTACTATTGTGGTAAAATGATCTTCCATATCTCATGTCATGTTTTTCGTACAAAATCAAAGCCATGCCTAATATATCTCATTATTTCTTTGTGTTTAGCTTATTTTCACCATGGTTGTTTCATGCCATTGAGTTGTATGATCTGCTTATAACCTTCTTATACTGAAAGTTCTACAAATACACATTTGAGAGGTCTCTTTGCTTGTTCAGAAAGGAATGTTCATCACATTCTGAAATGCATTTAAGTCTTAGTATATTTCATAATACCTGACGATGCTACATGATTCATTAGCTACTTATTTAACGGTGACTTATGCCTATAGTTTAACATAAAATGACTACTTAATTATTTCATAGTAGTTATGTTAATGCACATCAATTAGTCACCGGATGGTCACCGATGAAACTGTCAGGTGTAACATCATGGCTGCTAGTGGTAGTTGACTGATCAAATTCACACTATGACCAATAAGGTATGCATAGAGCTCCATTGTCAGGCATTTAATTCCATGGTAGATATTAAAAGCTAGTCAGGAGGCAACATTGAACCTTGGCTAAAAGTTTGACGGTACTGCTATGCTGGGTGTATTTATACGCTTGAAGAAACTCATGTTCCCTTCTCAGATATTCAAAACCATGTCAGTCAGTTGAGAAAACAGATTCTTTTATCACTTAAGTATTCAAGTGATGATTGAACCTCTGTAGGAAACAGTTATTTACGCGAATCCATCACAGGATGATGACTTATACAATACTTTCTGTAAGGCTCCATTATCGCATTCAGAAATCAATTTTACTGTATTAAAAACTAGACTTACCATAAAAATCAGACTACTTAAATCTTAATCCGTATAATTTGGTAAATAACGGCATGGTAAATTATTAAATATATGAAAACTCAACTATCTGAATAGTGAAGAGAAGAATGTAGCTGGAAAGAATTACTTACTGTTTTCATTCCATCGGGTTTTGGATGACATTTGAAGAATTCGACAGTAAAGGTGAATAACTCTTTGGCTAACTAAAACAATGAAAAAATCACTTCAGAGAAATGGAAACAAAGCCATTTAATCAAATAAAGAGATAAAAGACGATTACACTAGAGAAAAAGTTTTCTTTTCAACGAAATCAATCTCTTTGCTGTGGATTGTACGTGTTTTCTTTGAAAGCATAATGAAGATTTGAACTTTTGAATTGTATGGATGTATTGACTTTACTTCCTCCAAGTGCTTTGGTCACACTTTCAAGGACTTATCAAAAGAAACCGAATGTTCTAAGTGTATTAAGTGTTCTTTTTTGAATTCGAAGTTCAGCAGTAAGATCTTTTTCAGAGCAGTATACAAGTGTTCCATGACTTGTTTTCTCTTTAAGTTTTTATCCTAAAAACGAATGTACAATGTCATCCTTGGTTATTACTATTGTAGAAAACTGGTCACTTTAGATAATTCCCATATGATGTATTTACTTCTTATTTGAAGGTCATTTTATTTTTTCATTATGTAACTATCTTTTGACCGCAGATTACTCTGGAATGTTCTATAGTTTCTACTATGTATTCATGCGTTTACAGGTAGAAGAATGGACAATTAGAAGTTTTATCACTTGGACCAAACTTTTGTGATAGTCGTAATACGATTAGTAAGATGGAAAAGGAAGTACCGTTTGAGAACGTCTACACACAGACGGAAGCTTCGGTACCATCATCTAGTGAAAACGATGATAAACTTAAGAATACACTCGTTGACTCCTGCTTAAAGTACACGAGTATTATTATTATATTATATATTCCTTTGGTTCCTAATGGAACACAGGACTTCGGTAGTACGTCTCCATTCCACTCTTCTCTGCAATCTTTTGAATCTGTCGCCATGACCACCCACAGGCTCTCATTTCTTCCTCACACCATCTCCTCTATATCACCCTCAACTCGGAAGCCCAACTCGTCGTCTCACATATGGGTTCCACTCAACGACCTGGCCTGGTACCTTATGTGCCCAGTCGGCCTTCTCAGTGTATGCAAAATCCATCTCCACTTCCTTCCACTGCATATTTGTTGAGTGATAGGTTCTTGCTTCTTTGGTTCCTAGCCAGTCAGCCATCCATCCATCCAGCCAGCCAGCCAGAATTCCTTGTCACGTATTCTTATTATTCTGGCCATCTCATCTCATCTTCAGTAACGAGCCAGTGTAGGCGGCAGTTGTTGATGATGCGTGTCTGTAGTTTGTTGGAAATGCTTTCCGTAACGCAGTAAGTCTCTGAATCATGCAGATGCACTGACATGACTGATATTAGTGTTGTAAATCTGGATGTTGTTCAGACTTTCTGCTGAGTGCAGAATATCTGCACACTGGTTTCAGGCTAGTGAACGCCCGTCTTGCTTTTCCGATACTGGCTGCTTTGACTTTCTCGTCTGTGCCGCCTGTAGTTAATTAAAAAAATGCTGCCTAGATAGGTGAAAGAGGCTAGTACATAGACAAAATGAATGCTTTATTTAATGATGAGAGTAAATTTCAGAATTAGTCACTTATGGTGATACGAATGAGAAAGCTGTGAAACATTTATCCAAAAAAGATAAAACACCAGGGTTTCATTTCAGAAGGCACCTTGTAAATGCGCAAACCTACCGTAACCGTCGAGTCCACTGCAGTCCAGTCGATCATAATCAGGAGGATCACCGTTGATTGATAGTAGGCAATGTTGTCTTACTCCTGTCTCCACTTCACTTCACTTCACTTCAAAGGCACCACTGAACTTTCCATTGTGAATCACTTGGCATGTAGCATCATATAACATATAGTTGCTGTTGAATGGGGTTGATATAGGTTTGTGGCACTAAAAGTGTAGTGTTGAAACAGCTACCTGCCAAACTACCTCTCGGTCGATGCTATCGAAGTGTATTTTGAAGTGGATGTAGTTGACGTTGATTTGATTTGATTTGAGTTGACTGTCATTCTATACTCTATTTTATGATGATGTGTAGCGTAGCGTTGCAATTTGATGCACATATGATTTGTTTTTCCTGAAGTCAGCCAGCCAGTGTGTTCCGGTCGTAATTTTGAGTGGAGCGGATTTTTCAGTTTTCCAGGATGATGCGGCTTGACATTTTACTTGGGGTGAACTGGAGCATGATTACGCTCCAGTTCTCGCTGTTTGCCATGTGTATATCTGCCAGGTCAAGTGTGATGCATATTCTGGGGTTTTATTTTATTTACTTGGGGCTGTAAGCAGATAATTTTCGTATCAGGTATTCTAAATACTAATGACTCTTCTTTTAGAACTGGATTTTTTGAAAGGGCCTCCCTTTCTGCATAATTTGCATAATAATTACTTCCATGACTCTGATATAGAGTGGAAAAGGATCGAGTTTCTGAAAATTTCAGACTCTATTAATAGTTCTAGATACACAAAAGGCGAGTGGTATCATCTTCGGAACGCGGTGTATCACAGTAAGAACCGTATTAGCATCTATTTGATATCATGTATCAACTAGATATGCTAGTATAGAACTTCTAATGGATTTTATCTTATCTTTCGCAAAACAAATTTGAATAAGTTCTCCTATCCTAATACGAACGTGTCTAATACTTCCCCCTATACAACGTGTTCTATAGGAATAGGTGGATTCGTACATACATGATGATTAGCTCAAACCACATAGGGTGTCCTTAAGTTTGGGTTGAATGGTGGTCACCTATGTAAGGATAAGTACAGACATCCTGTTCTGGATAAACGTTGTGGAAAAATTTCGCGTAGGGTGTATCTTTTGCATTGCAGACAAATAAAAAAATGTTATATCTGAACCCTAGTCAGTTCATATTCATGAGTATCATGCATGATATTTGTCTTTGTGAAATTTTTCAGGATATCCGTCTTCCCTTAAAATATAATGAAGGATTTGTAATTCCTTTTCAACAAACTCCTTTGAACAGATTAATCTTGCTCTAAACAACGAACATCTGATAACATTTCGTCCTCACTTCATTGGTACGAAGCTGAGGATGGATAAGCCTGGATGGTGAGCATCAGCATGGATGAAATCTACATTTAAAGTAATTTATGGAATATTTACAGTCATCCATTACTGAAGCTAATGTATAATGAAATTTTATTACTTTAACTGATGTTCACAGAGTTAACAGCCTAAACAGAATTAAATAACTGTCAGGGGTAAGGATCACCGCACCGATTACCTTACAGTGAACGAAATATTTGGTTGATTTTAGTGTAACAGTTGTGAACGTGCACGTGTAGTGTTAAAAACAAGCTAAGTTTAAAAGCGAATTGATTATGTTTCAGCAAATGATGAAGGTCAAAGATTCTATCTTTTAAAAAAAGGTTTCGAACTGTATATTAAGACAATTTTAGATTAATATAATCTGTTTGAAAAAGCAGTACGCATGCTAACTAGCAATTTGCGTCATGATGTTATTGTTTAAAGAAGTAGAACAGGCTGTATATTCAACGATCTTAGCATATCTCTTGAAATGATTTAAAGCATATTCAGTATTGAACAACACTGCTTATAAATTGAGGTAGGGCGATTTATTACAGCTAGACAAGTGTAATTGCTTGGTGGAGGAAATGATTTGTTTAGTGATTTAAACTGGAAAATTATTTAATCTACTAGTCACCAATCAGATTATTTTAACACGTTTTGATTCATTCAGATGAAAGTACTTGCGAGAATACTTCAGTGCAAATACCTGTAACCTCATTGAGGAGTTTTAAACATTTGAGTTCTGCATGTAAAAACAAAGAATAAATTCCTTTATAGGGTGAAGGTGTATAGTACTAGCAAGTATTGATAGGTAGGTGATCTGGATCTGTGAATTTTACGACTATCCTGTCTATTCCAACAGTTAGTATATAACACTTTCAAGGTTAACCCATCGAGCGGATAAGATACAATGAGGATGACATCACCGAAAGCCTAGTTGGTGAATGAATTGAATAACTAAGCTGTTTAAATGAGCAAATTTCACTGTAACTCCGATATTCCACCAAACATATTCTGTTGTCAACGTACATTAACATATTTTGAATTGTGTACTGCGATATCGGGAGAAATCTAAAGGAAGTTGTTTTTTTCACCTACTTAGGCAGCATTGTTTCAACAACAGACGGCGGTACAGAAGAAGATGTCAAAGCTGGGATCGGAAAGACAGCATGACAGGCGTTGATTAACCTGAAACCAGTGTGGAGGTCTACTGCACTCAGCATAAGGAACAAGATCCGGATTTTCAACACTAATGTCAAGTCAGTGCTTCTATATGGCTCAGAATCTTGGAGCGTCTCGAAAACCACTTCCAACAAGCTACAGACATGCATCATCAACAGCTGACGACTACGCTGCATTAATACTGAAGATCAGGTGGCCAGAATAGTAAGAATAAGCAAGAAGGAACTCTGGCTGGTGACGAACCAACCAAGAACTTATCACCCAACAAATATGTAGTAGAGGAAAGTGGAGATGGATCGGGTATACACTGAGAAAGCCATTCGGAGACATCATGTGCAAGGCCAAGTCATCGAGTGGAATTCAAATGGGAAACGACGAGTTTGGCTTTTGAGGGTGACATGGATGAGATGATGTGGAGAAGAAATGAAAGCTTGTGTTGAGGGGTGTAGCCAGGTGTAAGAAGACTGTAGAGAGGAGAGTGGAATGAAGAGGTGCTACTGAAGTTGTATGGTTAACTAGTAACTCAAGGGACAAATAATAATAATAATAATGATAATAATAATAATAATAATATCGCCAGTCCATTTGTTAGCCTTACATGTAAGAAGCTGTAGAACTAACTTTCTTCTTTGTTTGTCATTCATGAGAACAGAGAATTTGCAAACTTGGGACAAATGCAGTTGAATGTAAGGACAGATACTCAGCAACGACTTTGGATAATTGTCAAGGTATATCACGAGATGACAGATAAAGGAAACTAAGTGCTATTGGATAGTACCTGAAGTTCCTGTGTTTTATCCTTGAAAAGATCGTCGGGATATGCTGCTAAGAAGTCCTATACTAGGAGGAATCACTTATTCAGTTCTTTTAATTTGTCGGTGGTGCTCCAACTGATGTCACGAAAAGCAATTTTCTGTTAGTAAATAAAATCCATATCTTTGAGATGAGTGGAGATTTTTTTAATTTAGAAGTGTTATTCATCATGGACTGACATAAGTTGAGAAACAATTGAAAACCTGGGAGCACTGGACAGATATTTCGTCCTGGTATGGGACACCTCAGCAGTACGCACTCACTACCTAGCTAGGGATCGAACTCAAGACCTTCATGTTTCACGGCGAACTTGTTAACCATTCAGCCACTATGTGGGTTTCCAGTGGTTCGCAAAAATACATTACTTTGCTTCTAGATGGATATCACGAAGCTCTAATGAGAAGCCATGACCTGTGGGGTCAACCAGTCGGAATTGAAGTGGATGCTAACTGAAGACCCTAGGTGACAGTCGCGCTACGTCGTGAACTGACAGAAGTTGGAAATTGTGAACCACTGGAAACCGATCCAGTGGCTGAATGGTTAAAACGCACTCGTCGTGAAACCTGAAGGTCCTGAGTCCGATCCCTAATCGGGTGGTGGGTGCGTACTACTGAGAAGTCCCATACTAGGACGAAACAGTTGTCCAGTGCTTCCATATTCTCAATGGTTCCCCAACTGATGTCAGTCCATGATGAATAATGCTTCTAAATTAAAATCTGTATCACCGACTAATGAGATTAGAAACTTTGTCACAGTTCTACCCAGGTCATGCTCAACCTTCTACAGAACTGAATGATGAATGAATCACTAGATTCTAACTAACGAAGTTATAACCCTTTGAGTATTCATCAGTATTGGCAAATAAAGTTTACAATCTAATAACTTCAGAACTTTGCATCAGAAAAACGTATTTACTTCAAATACTATCCAGTTAAACATGAATGCTGAAGTAATGCGGGTCAATGCATTGATTAAGAATGCTGAAATAATGTTGAAATGCGACAATTAAGCGGATTTTTACAGACTACCGGCATAATTTAAGCACTTTCAGAATAATTTCAGCTCGCATGCTTTAATACAGCTTTATTTACGCACAATTCCAGTCTTATTTCACCATCGACCACTCTATATATGCATAATTCCAGCCTTATTTCCACACTATATCCTCATTATTTCAGCGGTGCAGAGAAATTTTTCGGTAAAAATTTCTATCTCTTACGCATGGATAGCAATATATACGCCATTCATATCATTATTTCAGTACTGACCAGTGAAGTTTATAAACTCCAAAGAAGTATATCGACAATTAGATAAAATGACTTACATTATCTGTTACATCACCAACAATATACATAACAATTTCCAATTGGTAGAAATATTTACTTTGGAATGCCATCAAATCAGCTATGGATATACATGAAAGTGATTGTAGTAAACATTTTGTAGCATAATCATTTGGATCCCATAAACTTGAATTTAGATTACTACAATGAAGATGAGTAAACAAACAAAATATTATCATTATGTTCAATGAAGTGTGTGATGTACATATGTCCAACTAAACGACTGGTATCAATTTCATGGACTTTTAATTCTTTAAGGTGAATTGTTTCAAGTGAAAGGCAATTGAATCATTTTCAGAGAATAAAAGATTCTGTTTTCTCTTCTTCAGAAAAGTGATGAGGTCGTGTAACCAGTGTGGTGTAATGTGAGCATACTTGAATAAAGAATGAATACGCATAATGTTAATATATAGGAGTAAAACTTAGGCACTGTGGTAGATTGTAATTCCAATTTAGTCTGTTTATTAGAAATATCACACAGTGAAACAGTAGCATTCACTGGATAGCCACGTTTCGGATTCATAAGCCAGGTTATCCTATCAGGCCTATAGTGGATTTTAGAAACACCCTGACCTACGAGTTGTCTAAATATTTAGCAATGGTGTTAATCCCAATAAGAAGTCACTCAAAGTCTCGACTTACCAACTCTTATGACTTAAAGCATAAATTAGACGACATACGCTTAGACGACAGTGAATAAATGGTTAGTTTTGACATAACTAGCCTTTACACAAATATACCGATCGACATAGTTCTAGAGGTAGTTCAAAATGGGCTTAAAGATGACAAAGAACTTATGCATAGAACTAAGGTGCCGATCGAGCAAATCATACTAGGAGTACAATTGTGCCTAACATCTACAGCTTTTAAGTTTCAAAATAAAATATATCAACAAACTGAAGGTGTTGCCATGAGATCACCAATATCCCCTATCGTCGCAGGCATATTTATGGATAGTTGGGAACATATGACCCTTCAAACATTTAGTCCTACTCCAAATATATGGTTCCAATATATAGATGATACGTTTACAGTACTGAAATCGAAACACATCAATAGGTTCTTGGCACATATAAATTCAGTAGTGAATGCAATCCAATTTATCTGTGACTTAGAAAGTGAATAAGGTGAGCTAGCAATCTTCGATTGCAAGATTAAACGAACACAAGAAGGAAATCTAGAGACTAGTGTCTATAGGAAACCTACCCATTCGAATAGCTACTCAGACTTTGAATCCTCCCACCCCATTTCAGTTAAAGTAGGTCTAGTCAAATGCTTAAGTGATAGAGAGAAAAAGATTACTAGTCGATCGGAAAATCTGCGACAAGAAATTAGACACATCAAGAATGCCCTACGTCTCAATAATTACCCACAAAAATTTATAAATAAGTTCATGAGAAAAATCGAAAGAAAAATATCAGCATTGGTAGCAGTAGCAGTAAGACAGGTGTTATCAATGATAATTCCACTACTAATAGTAATAATGACGACAGGGTTAAGAGAGAATTCAAAACATCTGCTGTGTTACCATATAAGGAAGTCACCTCAGAAGCATCACCAACAATTCTCAATAAGGGTGGCTAGGATTGAAGTAGCATTCAAACCAACAAACTCACCTTGAAGCAAGCTTTCTATGTTAAAACATCCTATCGATACAATTAGGCAAAATAATCTGGTTTACCAGATCCCTTGAAATGATTGCGAGGTCAAGTACATAGGTGAGTTGAAGCAGTCGACTAGGGTTGCTTAGAATAAGAGAATACAAAAACTTAGCTAAATGAAGATTAGAAGATCCTAATAAGATAAGGAATTTTGAGAAAAGCTCAGCTATAGCTTTACTCTGAAAAATTAACTGAGTTGGATGGAGGGAGGGAGAGACTGATAATCGAATCTTTGTTTATCGAATCAACACCAAATACATGTAGTAATCGAGATGATTGTTCACCTATCCCAGATAAATGGAAAATTCTACTACTCATGTCATGACGGAGAAGTAGAGAAAATTAGGGATGCATAAAGTCTGTCTCGAAGATGTTGACTAAGAGTATTTATTTCACTTGGCATTTTATTGGATGTGTTAAACTGATTCTAGGATAAATTTGGTTTGTGCAAACAATAACTGAATGTCAACACAAACCTGATTACCCATCTGAATTAGAACCAACCATCTCTTAGAGAATGTCATGGTACTATGAAAGTCTATCAAAAGCACCAAAGATTTATCTACCGTTCATTCTCCCCAAGAATACGGAATATCTTGATTAACTAGCATGTGAACCAAAGATGCACATGTCTGTACTTCATAACATTACCTGTCGTATAAAAAAATCTTTGAGATGAATGAATGTAGTGAAATTACAACCTAGTTGATATTCTTCAATTACAGCTTAGTGGATAAAGGATTGAAACGGTAACCGGAATATCGCTAGGTGTTCAGTATACTGAAGTTATTTAAAAAAAATATCTGTTAGTTGAGAAATTTTTAATTAAAATTAACCGTAACCAATGGCTACAAATTAGCATTATTTGTACCTTGGGTTCCTAGTGGAACACATCGCCATTTCACTCTCTTCTCTACAGTATTCTTACACCTGGCTACACCCCTACCCACAAGCTTTACTTCTTTCTCGTACCATCTCATCCATGTTTCCCTCGCCTCGGGTGCCCAACTCGTCGTTTCTCATTTGGATTCCACTCGACGACTTGGTTTGATGCGTGATGTCTTCAAATGCTTTCTCAGTGTATGCCCATTCCAATCTATCTCTATATTTTTCTGCATATTTGTTAAGCGATGGGTTGTCGGTTGGTTCGTTGCCAACCAGCCGGCCAGCAGAGTGCCTCCTTGCTTATTCTTAATATTTCGGCCATCTGACCTTCACTATCGAGTTAGCGTAGGCGGCGGTTGAAATTAATCTTCGTAACTCACCAAGTCTCTCAACCATCATATAAAAGCACTGACTTATTTGACATTAGTGTTGGAAATCTGGATCTTGTTCTTTTTGCTGGATGCAGTGGAAGTGGAAGTGGAGTGGAGTGAAGTAGGGTAGATCCCCACACTAATTATTTCAGATTAATGAAGACCTGTCTTGCTGTCCTTCCCATCCTGACTTCGACATCCTCATCTGTGCTGCCGTCGCCTGTAGTTGAAAGGATGCTGTCTAGGAAGGTGGGTGAAAGAGACAACTTCGTTTAGGTTTCTCCCCTTGATGGTGGTTGGTGCTTATTGTTGTTGGTTGGATAACTTCATCACCTGCGTCTTCTCTACCTTCATCTGAAGGGAGTCCAGTCTTTCTTCACTGCCTCGCTTCCTCTGCCAACTTGTTAGTTTTCAGCTGGAAAATCTTCGAGTTTGTGCGACAAGACAATAAACATAAATCATCATGGGGGAAATAAAAATCTACTTTTGCGACCTTTTCATCACTCACTTCTCACAGTCGTCTGCTGCATCTTACAGTCCAGTGCAGTCTAGTCCACCACAATCAGGAGGATCATCGTTGATGGATAGTAGGCAATGTTGTCTTACTCCTGTATCCACTTCACTTCACTTCAAAGGCACCACTGAGCTTTCCATTGTGAATCACTTGGCATGTAGCATCATATAACATGTAGTTGCTGTTGAATGAGGGTTGATAAAGGTTTGTGGCACTAAAAGTGTAGTGTTGAAACAGCTACCTGTCAAACTACCTCTCGGTCGATGCTATCGAAGTGTATTTTGAAGTGGATGTAGTTGACGTTGAGTTGATTTGATTTGAGTTGACTGTCATTCTATACTCTATTTTATGATGATGTGTAGCGTAGCGTTGCAATTTGATACATACATGATTTGTTTTATACCGCACAAACAACTCCAACAACAAAAACAAACTCCAGTCACCATCAACGGGAGAAACTTAAAGGAAGTAACCTCCTTCACTTATCTAGGAAGCACTGTTTCAACTACAGGCGACACGGGCACAGACGAGGATGTCAAAGTCAGCCAGGATCGGAAAAGCAAGACAGACGTTCATTAGCCTGAAACCAGTGTGGAGATCTTCTGCACTCAGCATGTGGAACAAGATACGGATTTTCAAAACCAACACAGTTAAGTCACTGCTTCTGTATGTCTCAGAGACTTGGCGCGTCACGAAAGGAATTCCCAATAAACTACAGACAAGCATCACCAACAACTGCTTACGCTCGCTACTGAAGATCAGATGGCCAGAATAATAAGAATAAGCAACAAGGAGCTCCGGGAACGAACCAAAGAAGCAAGAACCTATCACGCAACAAATATGCAGTGGGAGGAAGTGGAGATGGATCGGGCATGCACTGAGAAGGCCGACTGGGGACATCACGCGTTAGGCCAGTTGCTCGAGTGGAATCCTCATGGGAAGCGACGAGTTGGACGTCCGTGGTGAAGGTGACATGGAGGAGGTGGTGCGAGTAAGAAATGAGAGGTTGTGGGCTGTTGTGGAACCAGGTTCAAAAGATCTCAGAGAGCAGAGGTCACTGGAGATGTGCTACTGAAGCCCTATGTTCCACTAGGAACTCAAGGGACTAATAATAATAATAATAATAATGATTTGTTTTTCCTGAAGTCAGCCAGCCAGTGTGTTCCGGTCGTAATTTTGAGTGGAGCGGATTTTTCAGTCTCTCCAGTATGATGCGGCCCAATATTTTGCACCAATTAGCATAAAGTTAGGTGATTATTAATGAATAGAGTCTAGCAAAGGAATCTCCCGTGCAAGTTTTGTCCTATTTGAAACTTACCGCTTGGATGTAACTGATTCCCAGAGAAGGCTTCACATGGCACAGCTTTATTAGCTAGCCCACTGAGTCACTGTAACCAGTTGCTGTGCGAAAAGACATCCATACAGAAGTGCTGCTTCGTCCTAGTATGGAACTCCTCAGGAGTACGCAACTAAGATGAGGCAACTTCACAATTGATCTATTACTTATAATCGTGCAGCCTTGTTTTTAAACTGATTGTATAATCCTTTGCGCTGAATAAGAAGTAAACTGGTCATGGGTATGTACTGCTGAAAAGTACCATATTGGGACGGAAAAGCTGCTTAGCACTTCCAGGCTTTCAGTGGTGCTCCAACTGAGGTCAGTCCGCAATGAATACTACGTTAAATTTAAAATCCCTATTAACCTCAAGATAAAAAATAATGTAAGGTTACTAAAATCAATTTAGCTCATATAATGTACCAATAGTGTAGTGCTTAGTGGTTGCAGTTCTATTTTAATGCTCAGGTTAAGCTCAGTTCATCGGCAGAAATGATTTGTGACTGGATAATAATCGGTAATGACAAAAATGTGAACATTTACAATAGTCCTATTTGCAAATGTTCTCATCTTCATCATCTCAGCATATTGCTATGTTGCTTTTCATCTTTCTTCTCAGTATTGTTTTCTATCTACTCGCCAATCTACATCGATCAATTGTTACTAATTTTTATGTTTCTTAACAAAAGGTTACATACTACTAACAAACATTCATATTAGTAGCATCTGCCACAAAGCTTCCAATATATATTATTATTTATTTGATAGGAGACAGTAAATACAAGAAATGTAATTAGCTCGTTAAAGACTTACTCAGCACATAGATCTGGATTAGATAACTGTGACAATAATTCTTCTGTCAAGTGTTTTTTGCATTGAGTGAAGTGCTCTTTACTGAAATCAACAGTTGTATTTCCCAGCAACTGCTTGTACAAGACCTAGAAGGTAATAAATCTCCAGGATAAAACTGTGAACGAATAGTGCGATCGATAATAATGAATATTCAACACTGAAGTAGTTATCAGTAAATCAGCTTGATAAACAATTGTTACAAAGTTTAGATTCTCTGAGAGATTTAGATTTTGATACTGGATGATGAATGGAGATGATAAGATTCAAACCAGCTGCCTCTAGGATACCAGCTTCGCCGTCTACCAACTGACCTATAAGATCCATCTGCTGATCAAATCTTTCTTTCATCACAATCACTACACAATATCAATAATAGCATAGTATAGTGACAACAACATTTTAATGACGTCAAATTCACAATGGAGAAGGAGTCAAACAACCAACTAACATTCCTAAATATTTTAGTCAGTAGGACGAATACCGAAAGCTGGAAACCCAAGAGTACAGGAAGCAAACATACACTGACCAAATCCTCAACTACAATAGAAACAACCCAACAACACGCAAAAATCAGTTGCGTGCAGACTCTATTCAAAAGAGCGAGAACACACTGCAGCACAAAGCAACTTCACGGAGAAACGAGGAAAATCACCTTATGTCCACCTTAAAGAAGAACGGCTACCCACGAAACGTTATCAGAAGATGTCTATCCCGTGCATCATCAACTACAAAGTCATCGACAGAAATCAATTAACGCATCATCCTAACATTCATAAAGAATATATCAGAAATCACAACAAGATTACTGAAACCACTTGGTGGAATTGGTGTGGCTCATAAAAATTCCCTACAAGCACTACTATGCAGACCAAAGGATGCAACGACCAAAGACGAGAAACACAATATCATTTACAAAATCAACTGCGGTAGCTAACTGTAGTTAACACTACATTGAACAAAGTGGTCACCCTCTTCACCTTCGTTTACATGAACACCAATTGGCTATTAAACATCACACACGACATTTAATCACTCATTTCAATGCACGTGGATAACAACTATGGACATGAATTCTATTTGGACAATGTAGAAATCTTGAACGGAGAGAGGTAACGCAAAGAATGTCAGAGCATTCTTAGTAGGTTGTCATTCAGGTCAGTCAGACAGCAATCAACTGATGTATAGACATAGACCCAATCTATCACTCAATGAGACTAGTGATAAACAGCAGAAAGGTAGGAGGTGAAACAGAAGAACAGCCAACAGGAAAATCTATACACTCGGTCAATGACACAACAGTCAAAGGAAGGTACCAATCACAAACCAGTTGGTCAAGGCAAGCTAATAGATCACTCACGGAGAGATATTCACAGTCCTCTTCATACTGAATTTAGTGTTGATGATGAAGATGATGAAAGCTCCATGATTAAACGACCCAGCTTAGAGAACACAATACGACCAATACCATCCACCTTAGCTACAAATATTCTTCTCCATAGTGACAATTTGTCACCAGATAATTGTGATAATTAAAGAACTCATGGCACGTACTACATATGCTATTTCAACGAACCATATAGTAATGATGAGTCTGTATTTAAGGGTTGATATTATCAGTGAAACTGTGATATTGGGTTTAAAGAAGTTGTGAAAAGGATTATTCAGCGCATCCAAGTTATGTTGGGTATTCTACAACCAACTGATGCCAATTGCGTTAATCAAGGAGAGAATGAATAATTCTATCTGTGCTATTTCCATTTTCTAGTTCACGTGTTTCTGTACAGTAGGCTACATTGAAAATAGGATCAGTAAAGTTAGTCGTAGAATTTATTGAGATGATTTGTTTTCCTTCATTTAGGGATAAACAAGACGAAAGAGTAGCTAATTACTCCGATATCTTATTGATGATGGATATGGAGCCAATATAAATGATGCTTTTTAAGTTATTCACCACATTTCTTTCTCTGATCTGACTTATGCTTCGCAAATTAATCTCTTGAATTCAATGGGAATCATCATGATCGAAATGAACAAGTTGTACTTGTATGCCAGAAGAAACTATGCAACCTTTTTCTTTACCTAAGCCAACCACTGCTTTATTTGAGTCAAGTTGACCCCTTTCCTTATTAATCTAACGAAATATTACGATCATTATTATTGATGTTAACATTATTTTCGACGCTGCACGAAATCGTAGAAGCTACTTTTTTAGAGATTACATCCGAAACAAGTCATCATATGTTTAAATAATCAACGGAAACAAATTAGAACGCATCGTTTACATAGGAATATAAAAATGATGAAAAGATGGGTTTATCGTCATCAACTGTCAGTTTATGTATTCAAGGTGGAAATATGAATTAGTGTGATTGAGTGTAGGAACATACCTTCAAACTTGGTTGGAGATTTAGGCACTCCTTTATGAAGACGTAACAAACTTCAACGGACACACTAAAAATCAGGTCGACTTCATCTCAATCTCAAGAAAGTGGAGACGCAGCCTACTGGACACTAGATCAAGAAGGGGAGCAGATACAGGTTCAGACTTCAAGTGAATGTAGAGAAGACAAAGGTGATGAAGATACCTAACCGAAAACAACATCAACAACAAGCATCAATCACTATTAACGGGAGAAACCTAAGGGAAGTAGTCTCTTTCACTTACCTACCTATCTAGGCAGCATCGTTTCAACGACAGGCGGCGGTGTTACAGATGATGATGTCAAAGCTAGGATCGGAGAGACAGCATGACAGGCGTTGATTAACCTGAAACCAGTGTAGAGGTCTACTGCACTCAGCATAAGGAACAAGATCCAGATTTTTAACACTCATCCAGTCAAGTCAGTGCTTCTATATGGCTCAGAATCTTGGAGCGTCACGAAAACCACTTCCAACAAGCTACAGACATACATCATCAACAGCTGACGACTACGCTGCATTAATACTGAAGATCAGGTGGCCAGAATAGTAAGAATAAGCAAGAAGGAACTCTGGCTGGTGACGAACCAACCAAGAACTTATCACCCAACAAATATGTAGTAGAGGAAAGTGGAGATGGATCGGGTATACACTGAGAAAGCCATTCGGAGATATCACGTGCAAGGCCAAGTCATCGAGTGGAATTCAAATGGGAAACGACGAGTTTGGCTTTTGAGGGTGACATGGATGAGATGATGTGGGGAAGAAATGAAGGATTGTGTTGAGGGGTGTAGCCAGGTGTAAGAAGACTGTAGAGAGGAGAGTGGAATGAAGAGGTGCTACTGAAGTTGTATGGTTAACTAGTAACCCAAGGGACAAATCATGATAATAATAGCAGATCCATTTATATGTCCATTCTCGTAGCTTGAAAATACTTTTCAAATCATTTTTTGTTTTCAATGTCGATTTCACGACAAGAACAGCAGCTACAAACTGAATTACTGTTTACTGTACATTGGTGAAATGCTTCCAGATGAAATCTGGAAGTCTCAGTAAAACATCATGATTGATGAGATCAACCAAGTTAGATGTAAGGACAAATACCTAACGATGGCATTCCTTGATGGTCGTGCTATACTTCTGAGTAACAGAAGAGAAAAACGTTGGTCACTGGGTTTCGACCATGTGGCTCAATAGTAAGTTTATCAGTGCGAGATGCGATGATGCTTGGTTTGACCCCTGATAAAGTTGTGTTGTGTACTACTGAGAAGCCCTACATTAAGACAAAACAGCTCTCCAGTGCCCCCATGTTTTCGATAGTTCACGAACTGATTTTAGTTCATGATGGATACCAACTTGGAATTACAGATTTATACTGGGTGATGATTGAAGTTGAGATGAAAATCTGAACCGTAGCCGGGTTCGAATCAGCCACCACCGGGTTTCCGGCCTGGTGCTGTACCACCTGAGCTAAGTGGTTCGACTGCTGACCAGATTTTCATTTCACTTCAATCACCAAGGATTTTGCCCGACTACCGTTTGAACTTGTAACGCTTTACTACCGCTTGATTGTATTCACACTGGCTGAGTAGTCAGGACTTCTCATCCCGATCTAAATCTGAGTTGGAGAGTGGGAGCATCATATTGATTATCATTTGACTATCTGAGATAGCCATAGTTCGACAGACTAGTATTTCTACTAAGTGATGATTGAAGGTGAAGTAAAAATCTGGATCGCGGCCGGATTTTAATTTCACCTCCAATTATCACTTAGTATGAATACTAGTCTGCCAAACTATGGCTATCTCAGATAGTCAAATGATGATTGCAGATTTATTTGTAAATTCTTCAATTCTATAGGATAATTTAGAATACGTTCTGTGTAGCGTGCATGCTTTTAAGCAAGAATGAGGATTTCGTAGAGTGATTCCTTAATGTAATCGACATACCAATCCATACAACTCTATAGGCAGCTAAAGGGAATTCTGTTTTATTCCATCTGGAGCATAACAAACAGTGTTGATTGTCTTGCAAAAGGCTACAGTTCAAGGTTTTTCTAAAATTTTCGGCAACTGTTCAGTATTACTTATGCGGGAAGACAGAACACTGTGTTAATCCAAGACACTAGTTGGTTTTTCTTTCCCTTTCTTAAACTCATTGTTTTAAACTTCCTAGATGCTCTCAGCGTAGTTATTCAAATGTAAAACACTTATTAAATCCTTTTCTACCATTTATCTATGTTCCTCACATACGACCAACCTAGTGACTCCTCTGTGTAGGTTAAAAGCAATCGGGAGTTTAGCATTCAGTAGACGCAATGAAATGTCAAAAATTCAATTTTGTGTCTTGGGAATATATACATATATCCTGTAATATATTACTATTATTATTAAAATAGTATTCGTCACAGACTGACATCATTTGGAGAACCATTGAGGACTTGGGAACACTAGAAAGCCGTTTCGTCCTAGTATGGGACTCCTTAACAGTGCTAACCTATGACCCCGCCAGTGGTCGAATCCAACACCTTCAGCTTCCTCAGACAGCAGGTTACTTTTGAATTACTGGGTTGAGATCCAGTTGTTCGCAGGTTCTTACTTTTCCAAATGATGTCAGTCCATCATGAATACCAACGTGGTATCAGTAAATAAATCCCTATAACCCTTCCAGTTAATCTTGCATTATAGGGCTTTCCAACGCCTAGACTACTATGTTATCCTACAGATTTAAAATGCTAGATACTACCTCGAATCTGTTGTTGAGGAACTAGTTAAAAATAAATATTTCTTCTTAAATTTTGAGGGAGTTGTGGAGATTTGGAATTATTTCAAGTTGTTATTCATCGTAGACTGACATCAGTTGGGGGAACAAGGGAAACATGGGAGCACTGGACAGCTGTTTCGTCCTAGTATGGGACTCCTCAGCAGTGCGCACCCACGACGCACTGCTGAGGAGTCCCATACTAGAACGAAACAGCTGTCCAGTGCTCCCATGTTTCCCTTGTTCCCCCAACTGATGTCAGTCTACGATGAATAACAAATATTTCTTCACTTCATTTTCTCTACTATATTTTGTAAATGACTAGGTGAAAATTCTCACTATATTGAATGGTGATTGAGTCAGGAAGTAGGTAAGTTGTGGTCATATTATCAAGATGCTATAAAGATTATCACTTTGGAGTAGTATTATAAATAATATGTGGAATTCAATGCCGTAAGTAGGGGATGATGTAAAATTATTTCCTTATCGAAACAGCCAATATTATGGAAAAATGGAGGTCAGTTCAAATAAATCTAAGCTTTTATCACATAGAATAGTAATCATTCTAATGGATTAGTTGTGTAATGAAGTCAGTGTTGACAGGATGAGTTCGACATGAAGTCCTTAAGTTCGATACCCAGCCACTTCGGCTATGTATCACACAAGTAGTCATGCCGTTTGAAGAGATTGCAAGGAATACGATACACCAAAGAAAAGGTGTGATCTATCTTGATCTGGTCTTTTAGATGCGAGAAAACTGAAGTGTTGATGCACTTTTCCTTAACCAAGCTGTTCGTGAGCCTTTTAAGTACGATCTAGGTAACTAGCTCTACAGCAGCAGTTCAACTTGTAAATGCACAGTAAATTGGCTATCATTGGTAACCTATCGTTGATTAGCCGTGCCAGTAATAGTTTGATAGAGAAGCTAGCAAAAGGTTTTGCTGCTCTGAATGTCTTTTTGATTAATCCACATAATCAACATGTTAAGAAGCAATATCACTTTTGAAATTTAGTCTAAGATATAAAGGCTTCTTAGTAACATCATCCTCTTTTATCCTCTCTCTAGGTTTCAATATGTACTTATTCTTAAGAATTTTTGCCAATTATCATTTTTTTTGTAACCTGTTTCTATGATATGTTTAGCTATAGATGAAGAGGGTCATCTCCCACCAGCGTTTATCATTGTTTCACACTCCATTTGTTTTTGAAGCCATTTTAGTACATGTCCTTCCATCCTCAACTGCATGACTAGATTCCTTCTCCCTATATATATGTGACCATACACATGTAGTTTGGTAAACACAATGGGACATGACGTAATATTTGATGGAGTGTTTAGGTGTTTGGCGAAGCAAATGTTTTGTTTTTCCACAATGATAAGATTTGCCGCGTAATATATTTCCTTAATGGCTGATATCAGCCTACATCTCAAAATGACAGTATTCAACTCCCCTCTGTATGTTACGGTGGTATGGACGCTTTTCTTAGGAACAATGTATAGAGTTGGCTTTTTCCATACATGCTTTGGTCAGTAATTAGATGTCTTCATCCATCGTATCTGATGTACTGATACGATAGATCCTAAGAAACAGGCATTTTATTAGACCTCTCTTGTATTGCGTTGGACGAAAACTGTGAAAATTCAGGTATTGTCTTATCCATTTAGGCTTTCTGTAAACTGACCGTCTTACTGAATCATCTTTTTGACTCAGGAGTATATCTAGGAATGGCAGTTGATTATTATCCTCTTTCTCATAAGTCAAACTGATGTCAGCTTGTACCGTGTTAAGTTTTTTTAGTAGACAAGCCATATCCTCATGTCTCTCACAAATCACTATTATGTCATCAGCATATCTCTTGTAAAGAGGAACTTTAGCGATGAGATCAGCTAGTAGTGGCCTTAAGGGACTACCCATAGCTACACAGTCAACTTGTCGAAAGCGTCCACCTCCAAATGTGAAGTGGACTTCGTCGGTGCACAGCAGTAATAGTTCACTCAAAAAGTTTTGAGTAATCATGTTGCTGTAACCTTATCTTCCCCCTACTCATTTCTTCTTCAATACGGTCATCATAGCATATGTTTCTTATTCTTCACCTTAGGCGTTTGACCAGGTTTCTTTCATATTGAATTGGTGTGAAGCTATGAAAATGAATATAGTGACCAGTTCATGTGCTCTTTTAAAAACTACTCCTCTTAACATATTCATTCGTCTTCCTGGTGAGGAGGATATTATAAGTAATAATTGGGATGGTAGTTATAGTAGTGATATTGTATACTATAATACCTATTTCTCTAATAAATCCCTAAAGTCGTATTCATGTCACAGTTGCATATGCTGTTGGTGAGGTTAAACTCGTATACATGTCTAGTCTAATGAATGTTTTCTACTTAGGTAGTGCAAAACAACCTCAACTTATGGATGGCTAGCAGATGAATCCAAGACGGGTGTCTCATCCTATTAGGAACCAGTCAGATGGATATAGCTGCCTTTTAATGGAGGGTGTTCTTCCTACTTAAACTCAAACCAAGGGCCAGTCAACAACAAACACCAAACTATGCTGATCTTACAAGAAGTGGCTATGGTGACTCGGTGGCCTAGTGGATAATACTCACTCTTTCCAACCTACTGGTCTTCGGTATGAGCCTTAGTGTGAATTACGTCACCCACTTGGAGGCAGGTACATCCAGCTGATGAGTCCTAAGAAGGGCAAAACGTGCGTCCTGGATTTTACTTCTAGCCACTATCTATCATTAATATCAAATTTGAGAACTTGGTTTTTAAAATAATATCAAATCTGATGATTAAGCTTCAATGGTAATAGAATGTTTCATATATTCCAAGGGATTGCTGCATTATTGAAAGTAGTCGGAAATCAGTCGGTTTCAGTCATCACAATACATGCATTGGTATACAGTCATGCAATAGAGTGGGATAGAACAAAAGTTTGAAGAGAAAGTTCAGTTGGAGATGGGAAAGAGTAGGGGATTTTAATATGTTTGTTCTTTGCATCAAAACCCATTGGTTACCTGCTTGAATCATATATTGTAGCACACTTTTAAAATGTTTTGAAACAGCGATTTTTCACATTATCAACAAAACGAAGAAATAACGACATTATAGGTGGAAATGTACTTTTAAGTACACAAAAATAAATATTACTATGCCTTGGATACTTATCTTGAATTGCAGATTCTTGTACTGACTGGTTGATGCATCTCACAACCATAGAACCGATGTTCGCTTTTTTATTCATTACCCATACCAGATCAGATAATGAAAATTCCTTAATGTATGCAACGTATGTTTTTAGAACAAAGCTGTTATGGTTATTATTATACGCAATAAAAAGGATATGACAGTCATTTTAAATGTGTGAATAATTGTACTGTCGTAGGAACGAGAAATAAGAAATGATAGAGTAAATATTACCGTGTCACTCAATGTATGTTACACGGAATAAACTAATGTAATACAGAGTAATGAATTTAATCTGTATTGCTTACATCAATGCTTTCATACGATCCTTTTACTATGAATTCTGGTCCATTTAGATTCGTTTTAACTGAACACCTTTGGAAGTAAATGCAAAAAAGAAATGAACATTTTAAAGGTAAGAGATGATCAGTGAAATTTACGAATTATTCGAATAAGTATTTATTGTTCGCTTGGGTTCCTAGTAGGACATATGGCTTCAATAGTATTTCGCCATTTCACTCTCTTCTCTGAGGTGTTTTTACACTTGGCTACGTTACTGCCCACAAACTTTCATTTCTTCCTCACACCATCACCTTCATGTCACCCTCAACTCGGACACCCAACTCGTCGTTTCCTATCTGGCTTCCACTCAAGGACCTAGCCTGGCCTGAAGCTTGATGTCCCCAATCGGTCTTCACAGTGTATGCCCAATCCATCTCCACTTTCCTCTACTACATATTTGTTGGGTGATAGACTGTTGGTTGGTTCGTTGCCAGAGTTACTTGTTGCTTATTTAAATAAGTACTAACTTGTAATATAGAATACTTAGTCATTGCTAAAAGAGGCAGAAGTGTTTGAGCTTCAAATTATCATCCATATTGTTCTGAGGCCGGGTTAAATCTAACTGGACGGTTTCATACCCTCATGTAGTCTATCTGTGGGTGGAGTGACTGAAATATTCTGTCTAGTCTAAATAACTGGAGATTCTTAGTATTGGTTTTTATACAGACTAAAGTAAGTTTGTGTTTGAAGGGACCTAAGACAGTGGTCACTTCAAGACGAGAATCACTCATGAAGTCTGTGGCTTTAAATTTGATTTTGTCAGAAAGTTTAAACTGTTTGGTTGAGAGTCTTGAAGTCAACTGGAATGTATATTTGAAGACTCTTAGAGAGTTGCCACAAAAGTATTGAAAATGGCGCAGCTATATACACTCTTTATCATCTGCAAACGTTTGAGTATTTTCACTTGCTTCCACTTACTTATTCTGTGTTTTCTCATACACTACCACTTTTATTATCCTTTTCTGCTTCCCATGATAATGTTTACTGTGGAGATTTGAACTAAGGAACTTTTGCGCTTGGTTCTTGCTTGTCGATATCTGACTTGCAGACTTTTTCTTATCATTAAAAAAGACTCTGTCTCCAAATAAATCTATTCACAACAAAGTGCAAAGAAATATTATTAGAATAAAGTTACTCACTTTACTCCAGGTTTGACTGAAACATTCTGAGAATCTAAAGAGCGAAGTTTTATGCTCATCTGTAGTAATCGAGATAAACATGCTCTGCAATAAGATAGACATTAGCAAACCATAATAATAATAACAATAATAATAGTAGTAATGATAATGGTGATAATAATAAAGGTAATAATAACGAAAGTTAGGTAAGAAGATACAAACTCAACTGATTTGAATTTTTAATTTGGGGGTTTGTGGGGATTTATTGATTTTTCAAGTTGGTATTCACCATGGACTGACACCAATTGAAGAAATATTGGAAACCTGGGAGCCTCAAAGGGGTGTTTCGTCCCACTATGGGACTCCTTAGCAGTGCGCACCTATGACTCACCCAGGCGCCTAAAAGTCCTGGGTTCGACCCCCTGAGGTAGGGGTCATGGGTGTGCATTGCTGAGTAGCCCCATACGAGGACGAAACAGGTTTCTGGCGCTCTCAGGTTCTCAATGTTCATCCAACTAGTGTCAGTTCACTATGAATATCAACCTAATATGAAATTGCCAGTTTTGGTGTACAGATATTAAGATAGGTAAGTCTTTCAGTTGGATTTTATTTGTTATTGCTGACTGTATAAGACTGTGCACCCTATGAATGCAACAGTGGTCACTGATCTTTAATGCAATGTTCGAATATATAGCAAAACTTTGGAGTTGAGCAATGTGTCTTCAAGTTGAGGGGGGGGATGGGTGAGTTATGATTGGAATTACTGATGTGACCCTTACTAGCAGGAAATATTTATTTTACCTTATATGATCTTCTATGATTTTTTGAGCAGTGCTAATCTATATTTGGAACCTGCTTAGAAACAATAAGTCCTCCGAATTCTCAACTTGAATATTTCAAGGGTTTACATCACTTAACATGACTTAAAATTCTAATGGGATTTAACTTCACACAAGATGTTTTACAAAAGGAGTTTTAGGTCAGTAAAAGCAAGTTGAACAAGATGTTTACTCAAGAAGACATTTCAACCCTTTTTAGAGATATCATCCCTAATACTTTGAACTGTCATCATCTGAAAATGTCAAAGCACAACTAATGGAAAGAAAACAGAACTTAAATTCAATAAACAAGTTCAGGTTGATCAGTGAACCAAAATTTTTTTATGTAGTAGATTAACCTATATAGGGTGAAATTACCTTAAAACTCACTATATTAGTCGTATATGACAAACAAATGGAAAAACAATTAGGTAACAATATGTATAGTAGGCAGAATAGGTGTAAAATAAGATGAGAAAAAGGCTAGAAAATAACTTAACTTGTCGTCTGGTGATCTTTGATGAATGTAAGAATTCATTCACTGTTCTCTCTAGGAATCAACCATCTTCAAGGTGTACATAAAGATAAGGATTTATTAGAATCTGAAGAATATCAAGGTAACATTTCTTTACAGTTGTTTAATTACATTCTGCTTGTTACAGTAATGATCTGCCTTGATTTATATGTAAGAAAACTAGACTATACTGGTAAATGATGTCGTTATAAAGCTTAAATGTAGTTCATATTTCTTCTGAACTTCGGATACTTTCTAGGAGATGGTATCAAGAGATAAAAAGTTTGTATATATGAAGTAGAATCTTCTATTGTCTGGTTTTAGTTAGTCAACAACAAGTAAGCATGTTAGAAATGAACAGTCTTTAACACTATTAGATATAGAGATGTTATTATAGTCTCTTAATAAATCGGCATACAATGAACCAGCTAACCCTGGTTAAGTAAGCTTGGAATGCAATGGTAAGCAAAAATTATGTATATTACAATATTTATCAGTATAATCATACTTCATTGATTCCTGTTCAAGACATATATATTCTTTCAATGAGTTTAATACATAAAAATCAATTTCTATTTACGTTGTAGACTTACTTCAAAGGACTGTCAAGTTTCATTCCAGATGAAATTTGAGTGTAAATGTAGACTGTAGTAAACAAACATGAAAATGATTGATCAGTTTTAAATAAGCGTCTTTCAATTACTCTAATTTATTCATTCATTTAACAACTGAGGAAGATTTTGAAAGCTGTAGACAGACAGATAACATCAACGTACAACATTGAACACAGATTTGTCGGTTCAAATTGTCTTACGAAAAGTATGATTCAGAGTTAGAGTAATCTTGTAATAACCCATTTATGCTCAGGTGAACTACAAATATCTGCTCCTATAACCCTATTCGTCACAGTTTCAGTAAAGCATGCCTAATCTGAAGAAAATTATGAACAATTACTATAGACTGTAGGTTCTATACTGTCACCTAGTGTTTCATGTGGCAAGCAGGCTCCTTATTTCTTATAATAGTATTATGGAATGACCTTCTAGACATGTGTAGGAAATATCAAGGTCGTTGAAAGCATATGTATATAGATACGTAAATACACCGGTATTTTCGTGCACGATACAAGTTGATAATAAGCCTTTAGCCGTTTTTCAGCTTCTTTCTGTTTCTAAGGTACCGAGCGACCTTGAAGCATAAAGTCGAAGGTTATTCTTCAAAAGCTCACTCTCAAACATAAAACGAGGAATATGTCGGTTAACTAGTAATTACAAAATGTGTATTAAACAAGCGTTCACGGATCGCTGTTAACTGATCACAGATGTTCAACATGAAGTAAATTTAATGACACTTAGTCGAGAATTTAAGTAAGACATTTTCATTCTATTATGTTTAGAAAAAGGGATTACTGATAGAAAATCAGCTAGTGATGTTCCAAATGACTGAGAAAAATTCCTCACTTAGAATGGATGGTTAACACCATGTTCCTGTGTACTGCGAATGAGATTAAACATTTGGAAAACAGCTGTAGGGAATACGATATTGCTTGTACTATCCCACCGTTGACTGGACAGGATTAATCGGTCTTTATTAGCAAATAAGCTCCTGAGTTGATGCTTAGATACTACTTGTAGTTTCAATTTGATATTGTTTATGCATGGTGGCTAGAAGTGGAATACAGGACATATGCGTTTCCTCCTATTTACGACTCGTCAGCGGGATGTAACTGTCTTCTAATGTGCGATATTTTTCCACCAAGACTCAAACTCAAGACTGGTCAATTCAAACACCAGAACATCATATCATTTTAGTCTGTTTATTAGAAATATCACATGATGAAACAGTATCACATCATATCATGATATGAATATGGATAATAAATTATGTCCGAAATGTTATTCAGTAAACGGTACTGTTTCACGATATGAAATTTCTAACAAACAGACAAATGGAATAATGTTCTGGCGTTTGAAGCAATTGATCCTTAAATGAAGTAGTAGTAGTAGTAGTAGTGGAAAAAGCGTCGTTCACTGGGAAGCAGGCCGATCCAACTGACGAGTCCTAAATAGAACTTAACACCTGTCCTGGACTCCACTGACAGTAACTATCTTTCATTAATTTCAAAGCTGTAGGGAATATTAGGGTGGCTCTTTTTGTTTACTGCTTTCAAGTCAATCAGAAGATGCTATGAACTTGAAATACAGTAAAGTCAACTAAAGTTCTCAAGAACTGAAAAGTGGAAGAAAGAAAAGTTTACAAATATTGAAGTTCAGAGAACACCAAATCATCATAATCTTACAATGATTTCTTTAGTAGAGACCAAAACCGATGTCATTATTTCATTTCTGATTCCATTAAAAAGCAGTTTTTATCCCGCGGAACTTTCACATTCATAATTAATTCACTTTGCCTGTAAGATCAGCTCATAAAGATCGGTATGTTGTCTGGGAAACTTCTACATTATTGGATTCTTATACACTTAGTATCGACAGTTTCTATAGTTGAATAGTTCTCGGTCACCTGACAATATTATTAACAGGATTCTCTAAAAAATTGCCAAATATATCATACTGACTCTAATGTTTTATTCATAAGCCTTAATAACTACTTCTATACACTATTTCAAGACTGATTCAGTATTACATAAAGTGTGAGGTTTTGATATATTGTCAAGTATTAAAAACAGTTAGATAAGATGTATGAGAAGATAAAATATGAACCCAGAATTGTACAATGGTCATTTTCAACTTTTGCTTAGTAAAATTTAGGTTAAGAAATGATGGCAAAGATAATACAAACAAAGGAGTATTGATCACGAGTTAACAGAAGTCGTGACATGTAAGGTCAGCTAAATTGGATGTTAAAAAAAAAACCCATCGATTGCATTAGCTAATGGTCTTGATTTGACAGATATAGGGAGATTTGAACCACCGGATACCTACTCAGTGGTTAAATGCTAAGTTGCTTGCCAGAAGAATTAATGATCCTGGGTTGGAACCATGGGGAGGTCATTGGTATGTTACGCTGAGAAGTCCCACACTATAAAGTAGTAGATGTCCTGTTCCCTCTAAAGTTTTAATGGTTATCCAACTGTTGTCAATCTGCCATAAGTAGTACCCTTAGATCAACCAATTCCAATAAACTTCTAAAGTGAATAACAAGAATAAATGACAGATTTCTTCCGACTGTAAGAATTAGATTTTCCAGTATGAATAACAACAAATTTCAGTGTTTTTCAATGAAAAATGCATAAAACCTGCCTTGTGTTGTATTATGAAAGATAAACAACTGTGAATAACTTTCTCGTACCGATTCGATAACCATTGTTTCTTTACTTATTCAGTGAAACGTGAACGAAATTGTATTTTGGTGTGAAGCACATGCTAGCATACGCAATTTAACTCTGCGTGTGTCGGTGTCATAGTCATGTCAGATTAGTCATGGTGTAAATTGCGGTGTTTGAGTCTGGATGTGATGTGGTACCCATTCTGAAGACCATATCAGGCAGGGAGTTTGACTGGGGCGGTACATCCATCAAATGGTAACGTGTGTGACCTATGGTGATCTCAGTAAGGACAGAAACCTGGTGTAGAGTAAAAGGGCAAAAGCTTACAGACCGTGAAAGCGTGGCCTATCGATCTTTTTGAATGTCATTTTCAGAGTTTGAAGTAAGAGGTGTCAGAAAAGTTACCACAGGGATAACTAACTTGTGACGGCCAAGCGTTCATAAAGACGTCGCTTTTTAATCCTTCTACATCGTCTCGTCCTATCATTGTGAAGCAGAATTCACCAAACGTTGGATTGTTCATCCACTAATAGGGAACGTGAGCTGGGTTTAGACCGTCGTTCTACCCTACTAATGAGTACATTTATCAGTGAAGTACAATCTGGCCGTTTCTATTGTAATCCTGTTTAATGCGAGAGGAACCGCAGGTAATGATTTGAGGGCTTGATCCTCATTCATTTCCCCCTTTCTACTGGACTCAGGTCTGGTATTCCGTTACACATTATCATGCCTATGTGTATACATGTTGATAATGAGATATGCATATAGGTATTTCTCATGTATATCCTTATATATATGTGTACAACTGCGTATATGCATGCGTCTGTTTACATGTTTGTATGTGTGGTATATATAAGTGTGCATGTGTGAGTATGTGCTTTTTCGTGGTGTTTCTTGCTGACATGTTCGTCATACTTGCCAACCATCTATGCATATGTGGATACATTGAGTTCATGAGATGCACATTTATGTAGATATGTGTATTATTCATATACTATCCTTATGTATTTATAGGCATGTGTCATATATGCGTATATATGATTATTATTATTTAACGAACCATACAATGTGTATAAATTGTCTCATAACAGTTTTTTCACAAGTAAATTCACAAATTAATCACTCAGAATGTTTTTTGCATCGAACTTTGCAACAGATATTAATAACAATGAGCGTTAAACACTAACTGAAATACTACCCTTCAACTTCCATAAGAAAGTGGCTTCAAACAAATATCACTTAATGTAGCTAATTATACAGAGTAATATAAATGAGTTTCATAGCTTATGGAAAAATGTCACTTGTCAATAAAGTTATATGAGATGAAGTTGAATATCAGTAATATGTTGTTTAATTTCCTACAGTTTTATGAAAATATCATTCTTAGAACGAAAACCAACATGCATCGAAAGCAAAACAGTTCACTTGACAGTAAAAATTATATTAATCATTTCCCTGTTGATCCGTATAAGTACGTTAATAACCTCTCTAAAGTGATACGGCCCACCTATAAGAGGGAAGCCCTATCCCTTGGACTTAAATTTCATGTTTCTCCAAAGCAGTCATCAGATTTAGCTATTCAAACACAGTTTGAAAACCTATATGAGCAGTTGAAATCTCTCGTCCCAACTTCAATTGATGACCAAGGATGACTAAAAGCCAAGATGATAGATATTGCCTACCAGTTTTGTGATAGTCATCAAAACCAGAATAGCAACCTAACCTCTGAATATTTCAGAGCTATGAAGGAACTACAAGTGAACCCCAATATTATTACAATCGGACCTGACAAAAACTCAGGTGTCGTGATCACTAGAGGTTGTTCTTTAGAAGATGTACAATTGTTGCAGGGAACTGTAACTGTTAATCAAGTGAAACTGCTCAATTTACTGAAACCAACTGAATCCTAATTCCTACATCTTTACGGTTTACCTAAGGTACACAAATGCAACAACTCCCTTACGTCCCATAATATCAATATGTAAGTCGCCAATGCATAAGCTTTCCTAGTGGTTATTGGAACTACTGGATCCCATTAAGAAACAATTCTGTAAGTATTCCTTAAAAAATTTATTTGAAGTAATTAAATGCCTTAGGGATGACAACATAAAAAGCAAACTTATGTGTTCATTTGACGTTAACTCATTATTCACCAATGTCCCTTTGGTCAAGACAATTAACATTTTATGTGATTATATTTCTGCATATAAGTTTCCGATACGCATTTTTTTTAGATCATTTCAAAGAGCTGCTACTTTTATGTACAAGTAATATTAAATTAACAATTGACAGTGAACTTATCCACCAGGTTGATGGGATTGCTAAAGGAAGTCCTTTAGGTCCCCAACTAGCTGACATAATTATTTCATAGGAGGAAAATTTAGCCGACAACCTAACAGACCCAGCTAATCTGTATCGAAGATATGTTGATGATATCTCGATTATTTGTGATGACTCAAGTCAGTCTATTTCAATTCTAAACACATTAAACAAAGCACACAATATCATAAACTTGACATATGTAGAAGACAAAGATAATTGCTTGCCATCATTGAATATATTAATTAGTCGGATGCAGGATACATCCATACAACGATCTATCTACAGAAAACCTACAGGGATACGGCAATATTTGAACTATCACAGCTTTTGTCCACTTCACTACAAACAAGCGTTGATTCGCTGCTTACTCAGTTGAATTCAACGAATCTGCACAGAAGATACTTTAGCAGATGGAAGAGGAGCACTGATTGAAACACTATTACAAAATAACTATCCATCAAATTCTATTAACCAGCACAAAATAATCAATGCACCTAAACCAGATCTTCACTTTTTCCCAAACAATCATGTCTTCCGTGTAAAGCTGACTGTCATAGTGCAATCCTTAAAGACAAACTTGACTCTGCTGTTGGACGGACTTACTTTGTAGGTGGAGTTTGATTAATCGAAACCACAAAGGATAGATATTCTCGTGAACCCACACAACATGTAAATGACAATGTTACATCGCATTATATCCACCAATTTAGATGTACATGTGGTGACGCATATACACTGAGGGAGGACTCAAACATCCATAGAAGTAAGGACGTCGAAGCATATTCGAAAGTGGCTTCAGAAGCAAGTTAAATCACCTGGATCGATAAACATTGGTAGCAGACGTCTAACTTATTCAATCGTAGCGACAGGTCACAGGATTGACATTCTTACTTCCTGTAGACCTATTCACAAAACGTGTTGGGGGATGAATCCTTAAATTTGTTGAGGCCTTAGCTATTAGAAAGTTGAAACCACATTTGTGTGTTCATAAACAATTTGTTATCACATTAAATCTTCCTTGGTCAATTCAACTACGAAAACCAAGTTCATTGTTATTCAGCGTTTAATTCAGCCTTCCTAGTTGACCTCTTCTTATTTCCTACTCTTTATCTTCATGCATTTTCATATAACTCTACCTATGACAAGTACGTATGTGATTAGACAGTTCAAAATGTATTGTACAAATATACACTACACGGTTCAAAAATTTCCCGTCTTCTTATTTTTTGTTGAAGTTTATATAAGTAACTAAGCGTTCGAAATTTTATTTTGTAGACTTGTTCCATGTTAGAAATTCGATGACTGCAGTTAAAAGGAAACTTTAATCTCATAGGGATTTGAAGTGATCATTATCAAACCTATCTTTGACCAGTCCCTGATTTTCAGCGTAAAACGTTCACTGATGGCTAGATTTGTCCTGGATGTGTAAAGAAAAAATCAATAAGTGGGTCAGTTATATCTTCTTTCTTTGTCAGTTAACAATAATGACGCGTTATCCATCTTGGGGCACCAGAATATTCCTTGATGTAGTGGAGAAAATTTGAAGTAGACAAGAAGTTGCATAAAATTACGCTTGGTGAGCATGGAATAACACACAAGTGTTAATAAGATGTTCATGAATATATACTATATTCGAAAAGTGTCACCGCATATCAACCGCCAACACCTTCCTTATAAAACCTTACTCTGTGGTTATAAGGTTGACTTAATAAGAATTCTGAATTCAAATGAAATATGTCCATCCTTGGCCTCTTACAAACAGCATTCTATTCTAACTCTGATGTAATCGATTAAAGCTTGGTGGGAACAACATCACTCACTCGGAGGCAAGTAAATCCAGCTAACAACTCCTAAGTAGGATGAAAAGCCCATCCTGGATAGCACTGCTAGCCACTGTCCATATATAATATCACAAGTGAAGATATTCTATTCTCCCAGCTTATATATTTCTTTACATTTTCCTCTTTCGATGTAATTGGAGTCATACATTCCTCCCATTTTCTCCCTCATTTTTATATCTCTTTACTAGCTGTTCTTCTTGGTGTTACTACTGTCGTCGTTGACACCACTGTAATATTTCATTATTATTGGATTTGGAGCGATGGGTACAAGGTTCGAGTCCCAGTGGGGACAACATCACTGGAGTGCAGGTACATCTAGCTGACAAGTCCCAAATAGGATGAGACGTGTGTCCTGCATTCTTCTGCTGGCCACAACCAACCAAATTATCAGGCAATATCGAGGCATCCACATACGAGCCCATATGCCAATAGAGGCAGGACAATTCGATCCAACAAAATAACGGAGAATAACAAGTATGTCAATAAATAGTAATTAATGGATTTAGTTTAAAGTCATATCATCCATTTTATACATCAGCTGTTTTATGATAAATGGTGCATCCTATTTCTGTTACGTCCTGTCTCATTCATGTCATCTTCTGTATTACATTACTGCTTATCAAATATACGCTATAATGTGAAACTTCATTTTGACCATCAAACATTCACAATATAATGCCAATTTTCATATTAATCATATGGTAGAAAATTTATGTTAAATTTTACCATTGATAATTGAAGTGAACAGTTATTCAAAAACTTTACCTTCAGTTGTAGACTCATTATTAATTTGCTGATACCATAGAGAACCATATCCTTCATACATAGTACCTTTGAATTCTGTGATAAGATTTACAGGTGTCTGAAGAATGAAAGAAAAGTAAATCATTCAGGAACATTTTACTATTGTTGTATTTCATTTCAAAATGAGAATTACTTACGTAATGTGTTCTAGTGAAAGTTGAATAGTTTCGATGCTATAACTTGCAGTTTCTCGTCTATGACTAGACTGATTTGTTCTGCCACCAGTGACCAATAAGCCGCCTCATATGAGACTAAGACTGCTAACACTTGAACTGAAATCTTACTGCTTCAAACATCAAAGTGTTATCATCTCTTTACTACTGTCCATCACTGATATCGAAAGTTGAGTAGTTAACAAAACCTTTATTTCAATGAAGAGATTTAAATAGGAGATTTTATCTTGTATATAATTTACCTCAGTACAAGTACTCAATGAATGTTCGAATCTTCAAGCAGAAGGAAATAACTAGAACATTAGTTAGAGTTCTGATCCAAATTATACTGACTGTTTTCACTGGTTAGATGACAAATCACCTGTTTTGGTACATTTTAAAATCACAACAGCAAAACACGCTTAGCGTTGTTTGAAGATGGGAGGATTTCTTTCAGAGATTAGCTTTCACAAGAGAACAATTATTCTTTCTCCATGACTACTTACGTCAGCGTGTTCTGAGGAAGAGTGTCAGATATCAACAACTAACTGATTGTCTAACTGAAAGGCGAATAGCTAAAGAACGTAGAGATCAGATATGGTACAATTGATGATCACAGATGCACATTACCAGGCCTGGGATAACCAATATGTGATTGGCAGTTGAAAGATAAAATTAGAAAGCATGCTTACGACATAGCTAATCAAGACTTCATAAGCACTTATGGTGGAGAATATTAACGGGTGGTTTGCCAACTTATCTAAGCAACCACTGATGAACATCGAAGGACTTCTTCAAAAAGAACTGAATTACAATACAAAGGATACCTCAAAACTGCTACATCAAAGTTGTCACTTATAACATCAGGATTAAATGAAGACGCTTATCAAGAAATGTGGTACATAATTTTTTACTAGACTGCACGCCAAACTCACTGTGTTAAGCTTTATCAACAACAAACTATGTCATAGTTATTTTGAGAATGCATCAATTCAACTATCTACCTTAAGTCTTGATTTGACTATTAAAACCGCTAACTTTTAAAGAGGAGCAAGTTATGCTTACGTGAAAAGAGTCTGTAAACTGTATTATTACTATATTGTTATTTGTCTCTCAGGTTTTACTTAGTTTACTCCAGTCTTCACTTCACTTCAAAGGCACCACTGAGCTTTCCATTGTGAATTACTTCTCATGTGGAGTCTTCATATAGTTGTTGAATGAGATTGATAAAGGTTTGTGGTATTCCGTAGTATTGAAGCAACTGCCAAATTACTTCTCGGTCGACGCTATCAAAAGCCTTTTCAAAGTCGATGAAGTTGAGATAGAGTTGGGTTGACTTTCATTTTATACTATGTTCTATGATGATGTGAAGCGTTGCAATTTGGTCTGCGAATGATTTGCACTTCCTGAATCCAGAATGTTCCGGTCGTAGTTTTGAATCCAGCGCATCCTTTAGTCTCTCCAGGATGATGTGGTCTAATATTTTGCTTGGGGAGGATATTTGCATCATATTTCTGTTTTGATATATGTATCACGCAGTGAAACAGACGAAGATGTCAAAGTCAGAATCGGAAAAATAAGGCAGGTGTTCATTAACCTGAAACGAGTGTGGAAATCTTCTGCACTCAGCATGTGGAACAAGATCCGGATTTTCAACACCAACGACAGCCTGGAAGCTCTCGTTTCCTCCTCGCAACATCTCCTCCATGTCACCCTCAGCTGGGACGCCCAAATCATCGCTTCCCATCGGGGTTCCACTCGAGTGCCTGGCCTGACGCGTGATGTCCCCACTCGGCCTTCTCAGCGTATGTCCAATCCATCTTCATTTCCTTCTGCATATTTGTTGAGCGATAGGTTCTTGGTTGATTCGTTGACAGAGTTAGTTCCTTGTTGCTTATTTTTTCTGGCCATCTGATCTTCAATATTAGTACCAAGCCAGTGTAGGCAGTTGTTGATGAATATCTGTAGTTTGTTGGAAATGCCTTTCGTAACGCGCCAAGTCTCCGAACCATACAGAAGCATTGACTTGACGTTGGTGTTGAAAATCCGGATCTTGTTCCACATGCTGAATGCAGAATATCTCCACACTGATTTCAGGTTAATCAACGCCTGTCTTGCTTTTCTGATTCTGACTTTAAAATCCTCGTCTTTGCCGCCACCTGTAGTTGAAACAGTGCTGCCTAGATATGTGAAAGAGGCTAATTCCTCTCAGTTTCTCCCGTGCATGGTGATTGGAGTTTGTTGTTGGTGGTGGGGTATCTTCATCACCTCTGTTTTCTCTATGTTCATCTGAAATCCCATCTTCCTTCGCTACCTCGCCTCTTCCGTCAGCTTGCTGCTTTTCGCCTGTATATCACAGAGCTTCTCCGACAAGACATTAAATAGAAATCATCATCGGCGAAGTCTAAATCTTCTTCTGGTGTCTTTTTACCAGTCCAGACAGCGTATGCTCATCTTCTTGCTCCTCACAGCTGATTGCTACAAATTTCCCTAAAATTCGAATCAGTTCTATGCGATGCGTTAGTTTTGATAGAAAAAATAGGAAGGTCTTCTAAGGATTTTCAACATAGTTCACTTGATATGATAGAATAAAGTTAGCTACTTACTTGTATACCATTTTCTGATGATACAAATGTATAATCATGTGCTAAAAGAGAATTGGAATAGAGACATTTAGTGATGATTAAATTGATTATGCATATTAATTGATCGTACGAATCTCACTTTATTTGTTCCTATTAAAACTAGACGAGGTGTACCTTTTTTGTCTGGTCATAGAATAGAATTATTGTTGATTACTCTATTCATGACTATTATGAGCTACTATAGCTAAAGTGGTAATATTAAAAAGAATTTAACAAGGTTGCAAAACCCGATCATTAGTATAAAAGCCAATACAATACTTTGTTGATAAGTATTCAGCGTAATTCTACTGCTGAATAGACAAAAATGTTATAGTTTTTCAGAATAACACATACTTTTAACGTGTATAATGATTACTTCATTTAATCAGTGTTTGATTAAACGATAGTGAATTGGTCATAGTGGTTTCGTCACAGAGTTTGAGGACCTCATATCGTCACATCACTTAGTTAAGAGTGTCTCTGTAAGACCCAAGAACAGTTGAATACGATATTCTGACTATGAAGGAAAAGATTTATTACTCAGTATAAGATTGATGGTTTTGATTTGATGTTCTCTGAAGTTAGTGGAGAGGATATCACCAAACCTGGCGATGAAATACCACAGCTCAGAGAACACTAAATTATCATCAAAGTTTCACTTCTTTTGTGATGCGGAGTAGTACTACTGGTCTGAGTATGATCAAAACACTACTTAGCTTTTTAGAATTCAGCATATCCACTATGGCTGAAGATGGTGAGACTGGTTGTATTATGCTTTGGAATGTGTGACGTTACAGTTAGGAAATTGTATGATTTTACTAACTTAGCTAACATGAATGGTCTTAGCTCTGTTCTAATTACCTTCCAGGATAATATTTCAAGTTGTTATTCACCACAGACTGACATCAGTTGGAGGAACAAAGGAAACCTGGGAGCACTGGACAGCCGTTTTGTCCGACTAGTATGGAACTCCTCAGCAGTGCGCATCCACGACCCCACCCTCCAGCGATCGAACCCGCGACGTTTAATGAGGCGTATTGCTGGTTCTGAATCGATAATTTACAGCATGTCATTTTGTGATGGATTCTTGTATACCCATACATAACAGTTACCTACGGTTTGGTAGCAGAGGGGGTAACTAGCCAAGATTTTCCGTTATCTTAGACGATTATCCCATGTGGCTGTCAGGTTCGTGATGCTTAGGATAGATCAAATCCTATAGATTACATTTTGCGATGCAACCGTTTAGTTCAGTGATGTGACATTTTGGTGCACTGTGTTTTGGTTTTACATGGTGGCAGTTACTCGGTAGAAAGTTCTGCTAAGCCTAAGTTTTCTTCTTTTTATCATTTATCAGGAAGTTTCACTTCATCAGAGAGTGAGAAAGTGTCACATCACCTGAAAAACATGAGTTTCCTCAAGCCTACAGATATGTCTTGCTGACAAGTGCTTGGAAAGGCGGAAAATTAGACCCAATACCTTCTTCTCCATTGGCTCCTACTGCCTAACACCAACATACTGATTCTTGTTTATGGCCCAAATCGAGAATGAAATAGTTGGCTTAGATGAAAAGATGTTTTGAAAAAACAAGGAATCTAGTGGAGCAGTATCCGTTAGTATTCCTCTCAGTCTGTAGGTATCAAAGTCACATGTGAATGTATCTAATTAATGATACTTCATTGAATCGAAAGTGTGGTTAGCTGCCTTTACTGTATTATTTTGAATGCAGTTTCTTGAAGGTTAAGTAATTAAAGCTTGTATTCCTGAATATGATCCTATCGAATGATGTCTATTGATAACATTATTGTCAATCAATAACCTTAATATTCTTCTGAAAAGAAATCACCTTTTCAGGACAATTTTGTGAACTCAAAACTCACCACTTATCAAACATGTAACAATGAATAATTCGTCAGTGTAGAATTAACGCCAACACTTATCTATCGTAAATATCATGCAATCACTATAAATCAGGACTGATGAAGTAGACGATGCTAGATCGTTAAGATAGACACTAAACAACATTATGTTTTGGTAATGCTGATTCATTTTTTATATTTGGGTTGTGACTGTACTAAGATATCCAAACCATGGCGAGTAGTTGTCTTAAGCGACAACTTACCGAGCCTTTGACTTGAATTCTGATCCACAGGACAGTAGAATAGAATGAAGTGCTCCATGGTTAACAGTGACCAAGGTATGTTCATTCTCCATTATTCCCTTCTGTATCGTACAGTCCTTGTGCACCAACATTCTGGAATCTATTTTTAAAATCATCTGGCTTAAAGGTCAGAGTACTCGCATTTTTTAATCACCAATCTATCTTATCAGTGCCTAACAAATGTTGGATCAGAATATACATCCTAGAATATTGTTTAGATGAAAAAGACCAGTTATTTCTCTAGTTTTGTCATTAATAGGTTTAGTTTCCTTAAAAGTGTAACGTTTAAATCTCTTGTATCTCAAGCCGTTTTAAAATCCCAAAACATTAATAGGAAGCGAGAAAGGTGAAGGAACATACTAGTAGAAATGTTGAATACGATCTAAAGATAGGGAATTGCATAGCTGGCCCAGTGAAAAGAACTTCGTCTTCATTAAGCTAAGCGGATCAAGTACCAATGCCTCTGTTGAAATGATATCAAACTAATGGGGACACCTTGAAACGCTTAGTGATTGAGGTTGAAGCACATTGTAAAACTATAATGGAACTGCAATGAAGAATCTGTAGTGAAAATCAATGTTATCTCACTTTCATCCCCATTTGACAGGTAATGTTATTTCACCACTGCATAATTCATCGAACAAGAGAACTTAAACTTGTCTTTCCCCAGCCATTTTCCTAAACGTAAACTCGAGACACTTTATACAGCTATAAAGCGAGACATGCATATATATATATATATATATATATATATATATATATATATATATATATATATATATAAAAGGTGGATGAAAATGCTTTTTTTTACCTACCGCTTGCATTGATTTTTAGAGGAAGCGAGAAGGGAACTGTGACATTTGAGTTGTCAGTACAACCAATGTGTTTCGTTGAAATTTCTAAAAATTAAATGGAATATACTGGATTTTTGACAAAACAATAAGATGTAAATAGTCTGAACCGTGTATTGCATATTAGTACAACACATTCCAAACTATCTGATCATACACATACTTGTCATAGGTAGAGTAGAGGTAATGAGATGTGACATTGTCATTCATATATTGTGTGGGTTCACAAGAATATCTATCCTTTGTGGTTTCGATTAATCGAACTCCAGCTACATAGTAAGTCCGTCCAACAGCAGAGTCAAGTTTGTCTTTAAGGATTGCACTATGACAGTCAGCTTTACTCGGAAGACATGATTGTTTGGGAAAAAGTGAATATCTAGTTTAGGTGCACTGATTATTTTGTGCTGGTTAATAGAATTTGATGGATAGTTATTTTGTAATAGTGTTTCAATCAGTGTTCCTCTTCCATCTTCCAAAGTATCTTCTGTGCAGATTCGTTGAATTCAACTGAGTAAGCAGCGAATCAACGCTTGTTTGTAGTGAAGTGGACAAAAGCTGTGATAGTTCAAATATTGCTGTATCCCTGTAGGTTTTCTGTAGATAGATGGTTGTATGGATGTATCCTGCATCCGACTAATTAATATATTCAATGATGGCAAGCAATTAACTTTGTGTTCTACATATGTCAAGTTTATGATATTGTGTGCTTTGTTTAATGTGTTTAGAATTGAAGTAGACTGACTTGAGTTGTCAACATACATTCGATACACAGGGACTTAGTTCTCAAATTAGTAATGGTTTGAATTGCGAAAATTATTTGTTTATAAATATATTTCTACTGTTTACGGTTTACCTTGTAGTGGTGATTTACAGTGCGGTAGAACGAGTTTCGCCAAAGTACATGTTTAGAGAAATGAGCAAACCGAATTACCAAACACTATTCAATATGGCTTATGAACACTGCGCTAATTAATCAAGATAGTTGAGGGGGATAATGGATGTTAGTCTAGAATCTGTTTTTGTGATAATAATGGGTTGAATAAGATTTTTATTTCTACGATATGGTAAATGTTTAAGGGCTTTCTGTGAAAAGTAATATTAGTATTTAGAGGTAGTATTGATCATGGACTGACATCAGTTGGAGAACCATTGAAAATCTGCGAGCACTAGACAGCTGTTTCGTCCTAGTATGGGACTTCTCAGCAGTACGAACCCATGATCCGGTTAGGGGTCGAACTCAGGACCCTCGGGTTTCACGACGAATGCGTTAACCATTCAGCCGCTGGATTGGTTTCCAGTGGTTCACAATTCCCAACTTCTGTCAGTTCACGACGTAGTGAGACTATCACCCAAGGTCTTCAGTTAGCATCCACTTCACTTCCGACTAGTTGACCCCACAGGTCATGGCTTCTCATTAGAGCTTCATGATATCCATCTGGAATCAAGTCACTAATGAGCACTATAGAGTAATGTATTTTTGAGATGAATGGGGATTTTTAATTTAGAAGTAGTATTGGTGAAACCTGAAGGTTACGAGTTCGACCCCTAGCCCGGTCGTAGGTGCGTACTGCTGAGGAGTCCCATACTAGGATGAAACAGCTATCCAGTGCTCCCAGGTTTTCAATTGCTTCGCAACTTATGTCAGTCCATGATGAATATCACTTCTAAATTAAAAATCCCCTTTCATCTCAATAATGTTAGTATTGTTCAGTGAACTATTTTCACTGCGCCAGCAGGTGTTTGACATGGAAAATAGATTATTTATCTTGTAAAAAGTTATGTTATCAATCAAATTTTATATGAATATAACAACTTGGCAGGCAAGAAGTTCATTTATTAACCTGTGATTCCTCTAAATAATAGTACATCTGATAAATTCACTAAAATGTCAAGATATTTTACCATAGTATCCAAGTTTTATTCTTATATTAACCGCTTTAAAGTGGTTTACATCAGCAATCGACATCAGTTGAATAATAATAATCGGAAACTTGAGAACACTAGACATTTATTTTGTGCTAGTATGGAGATATTCAACAGTCTATATCGATGACTACTAGAGGGATCTATGTGTCTGTCATCGTATTCGTTACCACTCAGGCATTGATTTGAAACTCAACAGTTCACATTTTCATTATTCTATGGTATCACTATACTATGCCATCGGGGAGTCTTTGTCCTCACATCTGACATGAAAGTTCCTACAGTTCATACTATCTCCTTAGAACTTCGGTAATTCCATCTTAAAGTAAGCTACTAATTAGATAATCTTTTATAGGGTAATATTTTACAGTGTCTAAGTTCTGTACCTACATTGAAGGAATTAACAGACCTGATGAAGTAACAAACCTTAAAATTAACTTCTTGAAAATTCCAATGATTCTGCCCAATGTATTCTGCATAGGAGAACACCTTAACTTATCATCACTGGAGATCAGGACATGAAGTATCTTTGACAATAATGACTATTTCAGCCCTGAAATAACATGTAATGAAAGGTTATTTGTTATATTTTTCCTATATCAGCTAAGCAAGTGACATTTCCACTGTTTTTTGAATTACCTTCATTATCATCAGGTTTTCAATGCTTCTCTAACTTGAGTAGTTTTAGAACATTGCAGAGATGAATAGCATCTGGTCATATTCGGTAAAGATATACATGCAAAATGCTGAGTAATACAATAAATTTTCATTTTCAGAAATTCTAATTGGTAAACTTTGACCATATCTAGAACGTTCATACAGTGGCTTTTAATTTTAATGCAGAAATTTTAGAACATTAATGTTCTCCTTAAGGAGGTCAAAAGCAGGCTAAATAACTCAGTAATAACGTTACAGACTCATTCTAAGAGACGTCAGTTTCTTTAATCAATATAGGCTGTGCTAATACTTCCAGCCAGAGAAGTAATTCTTGATAGGTGTGAATCTACAGGTATCAAAGAATAGAAAAAGTTATCTTTACTTGCTGAATTCTTGGCAATATCAATTGAGTATTGGCAGATACAGTAGATACATGAATCAATCAGCAAATGGCATCAGATGTTGCTGTCGACTAGTCAGTGCTTACCAAGCTTCTAATTTCATGGGTATAGTTTGGAGTATGACAAAGAAGCTAATTAAAACTACATTACAGTACTCTGCATTATGCTGTTAAAGTTTACTATTTCATCACCAAGTATCCATAGACCTAGTTTTCGTACTTACCATTCATCAGCAAGAACTATCTGAAATTGGTGCTTTCAACCTGCTTTATCCATTTTCAAAGCCACCCTAGTAATGAACTCTCCTATTTTTCTTTTAGTGAAGTGAATTAAAAGCTTCAAAGGAATAGTATTTCCCTCAAAAATGTACATGGACCTTTCTGATACTTTTCAATTATGGGAAATTCACACATAAGGCATCCTTTCTATTGATGCCTTATACGAACATTCAATACATGAGACGTTTAGGTCAGACGTCACTCATGAAGTATAAATATTTACAGATAGAATTTAAAAGTTACCTTCTTGTGTGTATTGTAGGTTATACCACTTTTCAACACGAATACTTTTATTAAGTAAGGAATTTATCTTTGAGCTGTGAATAAGACAAGCTTGTTGTTTTGACAAAGTATCCAGAAATTCTGAATAGACCTGAAAATAAAATACATTGTATTGTATACAGGAAGAATATGAGTATTATAAAAAGAATTAGTAAATTTCTTCATATGCTATAGCGTGAATCAAAATCCAGTCAACCACCACATACACATTCATGCAGTAGGCAAAGTTACCTGCCTGTCCAGATCTCAGTAGTTGAAAAGAGGTTCAAAACCGTGACACACCAACCAAGTTGACAAGTTGACAGAAGAGGCGAGGCAGTGAAGGAAGTCAGGACTTCAAGTGAACGTAGAGAAGACAGAGGTGATGATGATACCCAAATAACACCACCACAACCACCACCACCAACAACAACAACAAACTCTAATCACCATGAACTGGAGAAACTGAGAGGAAGTAGTTTCTTTCACCTACCTTCCCAGGCAACATCGTTTCAACTACAGGTGGCACAGGCACAGACGAGGACGTCAAAGCCAGTCAGGATAGGAAAAGCGAGGCAGGCTTTCACGAATCTAAAATCAGTTTGCAGATCTACTCCACTACACTCAGCATAAAGCTTGAACAACATCGGTATTTTCAACACTCATGCAGTCAAGTGAGTGCTTCTATGTGGTGATTGAGAGACTTGCAGCGTCACGGAAAGCATTTCCAACAACCTACAGATATTCATCAATAACTGCCTACGCCGGCTCGTTACTAAAGGAAGTGTAGATAGATTGGGCATGCGCTGAGACGACCATTTGGAGGCATCACGCACCAGGCCAAAGTCGTCGAGTGGAAGCGAGATGGGAAACGGCAAGTTAGGCATCCGAGGGAGGGTGACATGGAGGAGATGGTGTGAGGAAGAAATGAGAGCTTGTGAGCAGTTGTGGAGCGAGGTTCAAAAGATTGCAGAGAAGAGAGTGAAATGGTGACGTGCTACTGAAGCTGTATGTTCCACTGGGAACCCAAGGGATAAATAATAATAATAATTTCACTTATCAGCAATTTGTATACGACTAGTTCCGCAATGGCTTAGAATTTTGACCACAGGTAAGGTCTTGATTGTAAATCAGGTATTTCTTTTTATCTAAGTTAGATATATGACCATCTGTACTACTGTTTAAGAAGTTGGATGACGGTGTTTTTTATCATAGGGCATTCACCTACGAGTCACAGAGATTCATTCAACATCCATTCATACAGCTTCTCCAAATGTTTTTAAAAGTTTTTCGGCAGTTTCGAATGAATGAGGTCTAGAACGAAAGTAATGCTGAATTCATAAGGGTATATTTGCGTCCATTAGTTTACATTTCACCGGAGAACTCCACAGTTAGAGAGGAACGTTTTTCTCATCTTCGTGAACTATAACAAAAAATCTTTATATCCAATGATTTTACTAATCCACAGTAGTATGTTGAAAAGAAATTCCAGTAAGGAGTTTTAAATTTGCTTTAAGATGATGAAAAAAAAATAACTGAGGGAACTAGGCTATACCTCGGTGTACAACGTTTTGTTATTTAGTGAATACTAGGCGTCTTGTAAGTGCTACAGACTTGTTTTTACTTTGCAACATTATTTGATTGTGGTGGACTGGATCATGCAACAAAATGTGAGAAGCAATAAGAAGGTCTTACGCTGGCTAGACAGATGAAAACACCCCAGAACAAGATTTGGATTTCACCACTGGTGATTTATGTCGAGGATGTACAGGCAAAAACTAACAAGTCAACAGAAGAGGCGAGGTAGCGAAGGAAGATGGGATTTCAGATGAACATAGAGAAAACAGAGGTGATGAAGATACCCCACCACCAACAACAACAAACTCCAATCACCATGCACGGGAGAAACTGAGAGGAAGTAGCCTCTTTCACCTATCTAGGCAGTACTGTTTCAACTACAGGTGGCGGCCTAGACGAGGATGTTAAAGTGAGAATCGGAAAAGCAAGATAGACGTTGACTAACCTGAAATCAGTGTGGAGATATTCTGCATTCAGCATGTGGAACAAGATCCGGATTTTCAACACTAATGTCAGTCAAGTCAGTGCTTCTATGTGATGATTGAGAGACTTGGCGGATTGTTACTAAAAGGGTTTTCAACAAGCTGCAGACATACGTTATCAACAGTTGCCACCTACGCTCACTCGATACTCAAGACCAGATGAGATGAGAATAAGAATAATCAAGGAGGAACAAACTATCACTCAACAGATATGCATAAGAAGGAAGTGGGGCTGGATTGGATTGAATAAAACATACATTAATGAGACGATTTGTGGACGTCATGTGCCAGGCCAGTCCAGGTCCTTGAGTGGAATGCAAATGGGAAAGAATGAGTTGGACATCCGAGGGTGATATGGGGGAGATTGTGTGAATAAGAAATAAAAGCTTGTGTGTAGTGGTGGAGCCAGGTTTTAAAGACTTCAGAGAAGAGAGTGAAATGGGGATGGACTACTGAAGCCGTATGTTTCACTGGTCACCGAAAAGACGAATAATAATGTCAATAAATTACTTCACTTACATCTTGAAATAAAAATATATAAACATCAATTGGCAAAATAAAACATTTAGAAGTAAATATTGAGATTTTTGGGCTCAGGAAGTCTCATTTTCGAAGGATCCTAGTGAAGAAATCAAGTAGTTAGAAATCACTTATGATGACCTACAGATTTTGCCAGCCAAACCAAGGTAATCAAATCACTTAGCAGTTGTCTTATTCGTTTTACGGTCTAGTTTATCAATGATGTATCCGGATAAATTTATTTTACAGAGCTAAACTGTTCAAATCATATGAATCTGGCTGGCTGACTTGCATGGACTCGAATACCTTAAATAGAGTAATCCATTAAGAAGTGATTAGCAAATTGTATAGTTCAAGTTGATGTTCTTCATAGCTAAGTAGTTTATTAAGCTGCTCAGCTTCGGTGTCAACAGGGTCTCAGTTGTTCAGTAGTGAAAATTCCGCTTTAGACATTAGATCTTGATGGGTGTTTCGAATTGAAAGTTTGGTGACAACACAATGAGGAATGTAATAACATAATACATCAAATCTTTTAATTTCACTATGTGGGTAAATTTACTTAAAGTTGTTTATATGTACCATTCAAATAAAAATTACCTGAAAATCAGGTTTTTTTATCACTAAATACGCTGAATGAACATCTTGGGGTAATGTATAATGCAGCATATTAGCTATCCATATCACAGTTTCTTGTGGTCCAAATGTTTTACGACGTAGAAATGCTTCTTTCTGAGTTAATAGAAGATCTCTTACACATGAATCGAATGATGACTTTACATTTGAATTCATGACTTGTTGAACTTCACTTATATTATTATTATTATTACTTTCATTGAGATTCTTGTTATTCAAGTAAGCTTCATGCGCTTTATTTGAAAGGAATCGTAAGTATTCATAAACAAGTTTTGTAATCTAGAAAAAAAAAAGTCGTAACAATATTAAGTTTAAAAAAGTGTATATTGAATGAATAATTTACGGGATTTCAACGAATCTACTTGACTTTTAAGCGAATAGTTTACTTTGGAATTCATCATGGAATGGCATCATATAAGAGAACATTAGAAACCTAGGATTACTGGATAGCTTTTTCATTCTAGTATGAGACTCCTCAAGAGTGTGCATCCATCACTCCGCCAGATGAGTATATGTTATCAGGTTGAAGTTAGTTTGGACTATCGTTTACAACTTCTCGTAAAAAACTAAAAATTCATAATATAATATCGTATTGGAATATTCGTTCAAAATGAAAGATTTATGAAGTTTGAAAATCGAACTCTTAGTTACTTGTTTCAATTTCAAACATCCAGTATTTAGATAAACAAAATAGAGATGTAACTGGGATGATGGTTAAGTGTTCTTTGATGTTTCATATTTTGTCATGGATGATTCATAATCAGTTCATATGACATCATTAATACTAATTACATAAAGAAGTATCATATTTACCAATTTAGCTCTGATAATGTCATCAGGCTTGATGACGCAACATCTATTAGAATATATGAAAACCTAGAGAATACTCTGTATGCATCGTCAACTTCACTGTGAGCCATAAAGTTTCTACATCAATTCAAGATGTAACTGTACAGCATATTGAGAATAAAACGATGGGGAATATTTGTAATAATAGTAATAATAATAATAGTAATAATAATAATAATCGCTTTATTTCAAACAATATGTATGACAGTATGGAATTCTCAGCATGTAATTTTTCAACAAATTCACTCGTAGAACAAAACTTTCAGATGAAATGGTTATTACATCTGTATGATGTTAATAATAACAGTATTCATAACAGTAATATGAAGTAGCCACCTAGTTCTGAATGGGCATCCAATCCATAAAGAAGAATCAACAGAAATGTAAGCGTAATTTTAGTGATGGTGACCTATTTAACCAGTACAAAAATCTGCAGCTCAAGCTAAACATCTAGATGGATAGAACTATGATGTACTGTTGTGCACTAAAAAGTTCATTTCCATATAATGTAACATTTGAGAAACGTAGAGTTGAAAACAGCCAAGGTTCAAGCTGGTCGCTTATCTTACTAGAAAGATCCTTTTCAAGAGTAGCTCAGGAGGACCATTTTGATGGTGCTGTGTTCTGTCTCGTATTCTAGACAACATTATTAACATAAACATCAGTAGGAAGTGAACTATGAGATTTTCTGCATACTTGGTTCAGTAACTCTTCCTGATGACCTTAGGTCTGATTGACTGTTCCTGTCAAAATCTTGTCATTTTCTACAAATGTATTTCCATTGGCTGTCCTGCTGACATGAACTTTGACCTTCTTGCTGTTTTTTGACTTTTTTTACTAGTTAGTAGATTAGGTCAATGTCAACGTGTCTACTAATCTTTGACTAGTCTGAATGCCAAGCTTCCAAAAATTTCCTGACATTATTTATGTTTCCTCTTTCCAAGATTTCCAAATTTGTTCAGTCGATTGCATGTCCACAATCGTCTAAATGTACTGATATGGGCGAATATATCCAATGGCACTTCACTGCTAGTTTATACTTTTGTAGACGAGTACGAAGAAGGTAACTACTCTGTCTGATATAGTGTCCTTCACAGCGGCTGTGGTTTATTTTGTAATTAACGTTTGGATTATCTTCTTTTCCGATTTCATCCTTTTCAGGCCTCATAACAGAGAGTGAAGAGATATAATGGGTTTGTGAGCTATAATGATTCCAAAAGACTTCAATAATCAAGTCATGATCTCGGAGACATTTTTCATGTGGGGTAAGACAGTCCATTTGTCTTTTTTGAAGCTGATGATGTTGTCTGGAATGATAATGAAAGCTTAACGACTGAACTAGCCAGCTAAGAGAACGGGAAGCTATGAAAATACTGGGAATAAGTAAAGTGATTTTTTGGCGTTTGCTAGTTAATAAAGTTATTTGTGGAGATGAAGCAAGTATAACTGTGCAGAATACCGTAAATAACTGTGACCCAGATAACTTAATGGTTACGTTTATGGCTTTAACACTGGGTGATAATGGTTCGAAACACCGATGGAACATCAGTTTCTTAATGGCTGCATATATACTTTACTAATGAATACGAATATGCAGGAAACCTAGGTCAATGTCATCTTACTGACTGACTCTCATCACCTATCACCAAAATACAATGTAACGGAGTGCTGCATGAATACACTCAGTGATCGTATCATAAAATCTGATCGATAGAGTTAGGCAAGCATTAAGAATTAGGTGGTCACTTGAGTTACTCTACATCTAGCATAATACAATTTACTAAATGAATTTCAGAGGGAACAACAAAACTTAAAGCTGACAATAACAAACTGGTTTATGTAGATCAGAATAAACACAAGTCTTGTTTGAAACTAGTTTTCAGTAATCCGTAAACTGTACAAGTTATTAAATCATCTTAAATACTAAAGACATTACCTTTTGGATAAATACCAGTAGGAAAACATGAAATATTGGTCATACGAATAGATAGCAAATAATGCAAGTCTCTCAGTCATCACATAGAAGCAATGAGTTGACTGATATTAGTGTTGAAAATCCGGATGTTGTTGACGCTTTATGCGGAGTGTAGTGGAGTAGATCTCCACACTGATTATTTCAGATTAATGAAGGTCTGTCTGTCTAGCTGTCTTTCCGATCCAAACTTTGACATCATCATCTGTAACGCTGCCACCTGTCGTTGAAACGATGCTGCCTAGATAGGTAGGTAGGTGAAAGAGACTACTTCGATTAGGTGATTGGTACTTGTTGTTGTTATTGCTGACTGAGTGTCTTCATCGCCTCTGTCTTCTCTACGTTCGTCTAAAGGGAGTTCTGTCTTCCTTCGCTTTCTCGCCTATTCTGTCAACTTGTCAGTCTTTGACTGTACATCTTCGAGTTTGTACGATAAGACATTAGCTATAAATCATAATAAGGAAAATCCAAATCTTGTTCTGGGGTCTTTTCATCGGTTTGGCCAGCGTATGACCTTCTGCTCGTTCCTCACAGTTTCTTGCATCATCCAGTCCACTCCATCAAAATCAGGAAGATCATGGTTGATGAGTATTAGACAGCCTTGTCTTACACCTGTCCTCACTTCAAAGGTGTCACTGAGCATTTCATTGTGAATCACTCGGCATGTGGCATCGTATAGCACATAGCTGTTAAATGAGGCGGATAAAGGTTCGTGTACACCGTAATGTTGAAGCAGCTGCCTGCTTCTTTGCACTAGGTAGTGAGTGGTGAGAACCCCATCTGCTCCTCTTCTTGATCTTCTGTCCAGTAGGCTGCGTCTCCACTTTTTTCACAATGAGATGAAATCGATCTGATTTTTACTGTGTCCATCTGGTGAAATAAACTGAATGTCGCTACCATGTGAATGTCCTTGTGTTTGTACACACTGTCTTCAATCACTAAACCATTGAGTGCGCAGGAGTCTGCAAGTCTCCAGTCTCCTTCATTTCACAGAGTGCTTCTCGACCCATGATTGCTTCTCTTTCTGTGTTGTCCGCCCACAGTTTGTCGTTGTGTCGCCCATTAGAATTTCGATGATGTGGAGTGGGTCTTGTCCACTATTGACTGCAGTTGTCTGTAGAATTCCTCCTTCTTCTCTTCATCTGCATTATCTGTAGACGCGTAGCATAGCAAGATATTATCGTGACTTTCCTTCCTTTTGAGTTGAATCCTGCTATCATGATCCTGGTCCTGGAGGAGATCGGTTCTCACTGCACCAGAAACACAGCCTTCGATGCTCTTGTGAGGGGATATCATGATAGCCTCTCCCAAGCTCAGTGTGCTCATGGTTGTTGTTTGGTTGATAATATCAGAGTAGATTTCTGACTCTCCGGTTGGCAATTTGGAGAGTCCACTGCCATTCCATCTGCAGATTCCTCGCAGACTCCTAACACTTCTATGCTATACCTTTTCATCTCACTGGCAATTTGTACAGCCATGCTAGGTTCAAACAATATGCGGACATTCCATGTCTCCATCCTTACTTTTGCTTTCATCAAGAGAAGACAAGGCACATCGATCAATTGGCTTCCCGGAGTCTTCCACCAACAAACGTCGCTTCATATCCCCGATTCCAGCGAGGAATAATTTCGTTTTTGTTTTTTATATTTTCTCTGTGCTTTGAAGTTTCTTTAGCGGCTGGACTGGTTTTACGGGGTAGGGTTGCTAGACCTATGCCCAACGTTCCCTGTTTATCTGGGCTTAGAACCGGCTACTAACTAGTGAATTAGTTAACTAGGCGAGGTTCAAGATCTTTATAAGAAGCTCAAAATCCATGAAGTCATCGACAACCAGAAGTGTTGTTTTCAAGTCTCGAGAAAAAAGCAAATATACCAACTTGTAAGTACTAGGTCGATAGAAGGGGAAAAATCAATATCATTTGCTAATCTAGAAAGGCCTAGGAATATTCAGCTTCATTGTATATATTTTGCACATATTTTGTCATTGTGCTACACCTTCTGTTGTTCTACCACCTCTTGTATTTCCTTAGCAACTGAACGATTATCAAAGGTGAAACCTGAATTCTTAGTTCTTTAAGATTTCAGACCATGGACTTCAGTCTTATGCGTAAACATAACCTATGCGAATTGCTTAGTTCTCATAATTCTTATTTTATTGATAATTGTGCATTAGAGAAAGTTATAAGTGTGATTTATCTCGGTGTATGTTTTTTGTCGAACCTTTCCTGGTTCTCCTATATCTTACTAATTTCCAAAATAATTTTCAGTCTAACTTCCTATATTAGGAAGTGGAGTGTATCTGGTATACCTCAGTCTCTCATCTTGTGTTTTATAAACTCCTGTATCTTGCATATCCTCCTCCATTGTTCTTGTTTTTTCCTCGGGTTGCCGGAAAAAAGACTATACTGTATTACGTATAAGTGTAAAGAATGTCAGAATAACCAGTAGTGTATTTCAAA